AATAAATTCCGCTTCGTCGAAAATGCGGGTCAGACGGACGGGGAGGACGGGTAAGGGCTCTGGCCATCCGATTCTGTAAGCAAGGCGAAGGTCAACTTCGTCGAGTATCTCTTCATCGCTGCGGCTCATCAGTCTCCGCTCCTTGGCAGTCCACGTCCTCGAGGCAGACTGGTATCGCTGCTCTGATTGCGCCATTTCTGAACTCAAAGAGAGATGAGAGATGATAGGGAGAGCAGCAAGTTGAGGATCGAATTTATGTGCTATAGCTAAGAGGCCAAGGATGAAGAGTAAAGCGGAGAAGGCAGCAGTAAAATAAAGACGAGAGCAGTGGTGACTCTGAAGGAGAGGTGATGAAGGAGGTGAAAAGATGGCAGCCTAACAAGCACGAGGGAACCCTGGGACGACAGGTAGGGTCGACCTCTGTAACAGGTTTAGAAGTGAACAATTGACCCAGGAGAGTTGCTCTTCGGCGCCAAAATTGCTCAAATACAAGAAGGGAAAGCAGACCAAGGAGATGTTGGTTCCTGGTGGATACATTATCTACATGCTGATGAGTCGGTTACCTTCCTATCGACAAATTTTGGAGGCTGGATGCAGCTGAGCGCCAGGATATTCGAGATGCTTTCAAGACTGCCTATCAGTACGTTCTTCTTCTACCTTACACTCCAGTCATTTGCTTCCAAATATGATTAAAATCAATCTCTTCTAACATAGGTCTGGAAAATTTCAAGGAAGTGTATCTGTTGCGGTGCGATTACTTTGATCAGAACATGGGATAATCTTGGTAGATGGAGTCCAACAAATGACATATTGCTTATTCAGGAGCGTCACCTGCGAGGGACAGCATTTGCAGTTAGTTCAACTCTGTACTACCTACTGTACAACGCAAGACATTGATTGCATGCTTGACAGGTATCATAATCCTTATCCATACGTCTATTGATATCAATATCCTCGTCGATATCAACTATATTCGTTTCCTCCTTCCAAGACACACTGTCATGTGCCGTACAGGCAAGGTTACACCCTCTGCTCTCTCTGCGTGAAATAGATTCGCCATCTGAGTATCAAACAGTATCGATACCATCGAGAAATTGGAAGGAGGCCCAGAAGACGTCGACTCTATATCATAATGGGAAGATTTGCATTTCTAGTGTGCCTGCTGTAGTGAGGCTGTGTCAGGTCTTGGCAGTGGTTGTCAGCTGAAGCAAACGACGGCAATGACGCGCCAACCAGGGTCAAACAGGGTTAAGAGGATGCTCCCTGAGTCAGAATGGATGAAGCTTTCCCTTTTGAGGCGTTTTGGAGCCGGTCTCCTCGATATTGACTGACGTGTCGTCTGCCAGCTCAAAGCCCGGGTATCCTACTCCGTACCAGGCAGACACGTTTGATTCGAAACGTACCTGCGCACGATCCATCAGGTTGCCCGACTTGATTTGCGAGAGATGAATGCCCCATCACCGGTCCAGGACTGGGGATTTTGCCGGGGCGTCGCGAAGCCTGGACGAGACTGGGCCCCGTGACTGTGACTTTGCCCGTGTGCGGCTCGTCGTTTCCGCAACTAACAGGCAGGTCGAAGGCAGACAAGACGACGATAGCCGGACAGTCCTGCATGGGCATCAGCCACACTCCCCGATTTCTCTCTCTGCCTCTGCTGGATCTCGACTCTGCAATCTCCCCACTTAACTAGCCATTTCCCCGCATTCTCCAGTCGATGGCAACATGATGGACCATGATGGACGCCGTAGGAGCAGCAGCATCCGTTGTCCAGCTCGTGGTGTTTTCAGCAAAACTCCTCGAAAAGGTCGCTCAGTTTTTGGACGAAGTTCGACATGTGCACGACACGCAGCGCGCATTTCTAGAGAAAGTGGACTTCCTCCGAACTACTTTGCAAACACTGTCAACCACTCTGGACACAAGGAAGATGCAGATTGGTGTCCATGGCACAAATCAGGACGAGCAGCAAGTTCTGGAAGTGGCGAGAGATGTCTTGAACGACTGCAACAAATCCATCTTAACCCTCAAAGCGCTCGTGACGACCACTAAGTACGGTCCGTTCGCAAAGACCAGGACCCAGATTAAACTCCAACTTAAGGGCCACGAAATACAGAGAATCGAGTCCAGGATCGCGGCAAATATTGGAAACCTCCAATTGCTGATAGCGTGTTTCCATCTGTAAGTACCTTCACACACGCCCATGATCGCTTGCAACGATCTAACCAGTGCTTTCCAGGTTCGATACCCGCCTTGCGCAGGACAAACAAGTCGATAGTCAACTCGCGGAAATTGTAGAACAGGTCAGATGCCATCAACAGCTGTTAGACGAGCTGTCACAGCGGCGTCCAAATAGAGTTGCAGCTCGAGAATCCCATGAAATGTCCCCTCTCTCGATCGACAACGACAGACATAACCATGACCTTCAGTCCCCGGATCTGAAGACGATGGCTGCAACGATTAAGACCGCCAACTCATTGGTCGAGAAGAGGTCTCGAGCAAACTGCAGTGAGCCAGAACAGCGACGAAGCCATGGAACAGAGACTAATGGCGAGCAATCGGACGGCGGGGTGGCTCTGCCTTTCTCGAGGACGGCAGGGACCAGGCCACCGACGATCCCTACACTGGAATTCCGCACTTTGCTGCTCGACAAGTACATGCTACAAGCTGAGGAACATTTCAAATGCGGATCATATGCCAAATGTGAAGAGTACTTGCGGAAAGCCATCGAACAGGGTAATAGCCGCTATGAAGAATACGGACAGGTCTTTGAGCAGTGGTTGGATATTCAGATCAAACTGGCAGAGGTCTTCCAAAGGCAGGGACAGTATCAAAATGCGGAGAAACTGCTATCCAACCTCATATCAATGGGAGAATATGATGGCCAAGTTGCGCATCCTGATCACTGTCACATTGCCTTTGAACAGCTTGGAAGACTATACCATGCCATGGCGGGTCTACAACTCTACAGGTACCGCACAACAGGAGACATCGGGCTAGGAGAACTGAGTTCTATGGTTAAGACGGCATATAACTTTGCGTCTCACTTACATATGGAGGACTCGTTGTCCACGTCTTTACAACGACTCTTGACCCAGTGCGCGTCAACCTATCTGGAAGTCTGTGAGCTCGAGGGAGATCAAGTGACCGCGGAGGCGCTCTGTGAACGACATCCTGGGTTGCGTCGCAAGTTAACGCCAGAATCACAGATTGTCGAGCCAACTGTTCCCACACATTTTCCAGAGCCTCCTGTCGGGAGTATCTTATCCCAACGCCGGCCGTCTTCGCAAATCACACCCATCAGCAATGGATTTTCTGAACCAGAAAGGGGTCGTGCGGGCTCGATTCTCTCGCTTACTGCAGATACAGATATCAGCAAATATGCCAGCAACCTACTCACCGAGGTTGAGAACGGGAGTGTAACCTTGACACGGCTGTTACTCGAGATGGGCGTGGACACGGAGCAGACCAATTCCTCGGGGCTAACGCCGTTGCTGATTGCAGCTAAGAATAGGAATCTCGAGATGCTTTAGCTTCTTCTCGATTGCCCAAGGACCAACATTCATGCCAAAGACCACAACGGTCTGACGGTCCTTCACCACGCCTTGATTGGACTGGGTGGCAAGAGCATCGACAAGATGGTCAAAGCCATTCTGGAGAAAGACGTCGACGTGAACGCGCCAGACAAGGACGGTCGACAACCGCTGCACTACTGCGTCGAGTACAACAACACCAGCGCGGCAGCGATTCTGCTGGCCAGCGGGCGGGTGGATATCGAAGCGCAGAACGCCCATTCCGAGACCGCGGCCATGGTTGCGGCTAGGAGAAAATATCCGAATGTGGAGATGATCTGCTTGCTGCATAAGCACGGGGCCAGCATTGACCGGAAATCCATTCCTCGGAGCTTGCAGTTGAAGCTCAACCAGCTGGACAAGAGCGGACGACAGGGTAGTCGGCGTTCTTCAAGGACTTGGTCGTACAGCTGAGTGATGGCTATATAATGTAATTTGGAATTTTCTGTTGTATTATTTTACTGCTGTGATATCCCGGACAGTTCGAGTTGCTATCTAGGCGTGGAATTTCTTCATTTCATTTCATGTCTTTCTCTCTCTCTCTCTCTCTCTCTCATATTTTTTTTTTGATTCTCTTTTTCTTTTCTTTTGAACTATTATGAACAAATACCCACAAAGAGAGGGAAGCACTGCGACAGAAGACAAGAAGGAAAGGGATTATATGTTGATATCTAGTTACCTATACCTGATGTACTTTCACATACTGTGTTCTTAACTACTTCTAGCCAGTACATGCAATGCAGTTAGTGTTCATTACATGCATATATAATTAGAGTATTTAATGTCAGGATGGCTGACTCAGATGTATGTGCTGCACAGACATCCATCCACCGATCAGCCGCTAACTTGAACCCAGCCACAAAACCAACACAATCCTCCAAAATTTACTATTTCACTGGTCAGGTTTCGAGTTTAGATTAATATAATACTTGCATTAGCAGGAGAGCAGCGCGGTGCGGAGTACAAGACGGGAATTACATACTTACGTAATTGGCAATGAAAAATACATTACATGCCTAAAATTAGGGCGAATGTAACTATCCGTGCGGAGAAATAAACAAGGCTGGCGAATAGAATCAAGAGAACTGTCACTCGCCCGTTCAGCCTCACCCTGGCACGGGATGGAGTTGGAGCGTGGAATTCAGTTGCAGCTGAAAGATTCAGAATACGACGGTTCTTCTCGTCGGGGATTGCGATGGGTGCATAGATACATAGCTAAAGGAAGTAGACAGGGAATTTGATATTGGTTGTAGAGAAAGAATAATAATACTCTATACAAATATTGTTCTAAATACAGTACTTCGGGAGATTGCTGACTGTAACTTGTAGAACTGAGTACAGAGTAGATAGAGATAGATTCACCCTCGGTAATTGAGTTGATGATTGATGAGATGTATACTCCGTACATGAAGCTGATACAGATTGTACCCCCCGTTCGTATTCCAGAGAACTAAAATTAGCTACCTACCTACCTACAGTACAGCGAACACTACTATTCTCCGAACTCATCCGTCTCTCTCCCATCCATTTGCCCTGTCCATCGCAGACAGACAGACCCTTCTAGGCAATTGATCCGTCTTTTTTCGACGAGTCTCGTCTCCTCTCGTCTCGACGCCAGCTGAGTAGAGCTGGACTCCTGGAGCACAGACACTCAACACGACACGACCGGGGTTGGGCGCAGGGCAACAATACTCCGTCTCCGTACAAGGAATAATACAACACGCCAAGACCAGCTGTTGACTCTAGTTCATAGCTTTTTGATCCAATGATGCCCGGCGCGGGGTGTTGGTTTGAGCGTTTTGTTAGTTAGGACCTTAGGTAGTTTCTGTTTCTGTCTCCAAAGCGGGAATGGAAGGGTCCTGTGCTTTGCCCTAAAGCATTGCTGGGGCTTGCAAGTAAGTAATAATGGATGAGGCTCTGCTCTTGGATGGTGCTGCTCGTGCGAGTGCGAGTGCCGTATGACGCGCAGAAGTTTAGTTAGCATCAGCGTGTGTAGAGTATGGTAGATTTAGATATATACATACATCTTGATCGATGAGAGATCTCCTGCACATTGGATCTTCTCTGTACATACTAGTTTATATCCATTGGACTGAAATCGTTGACGCGAGTTCTCCTCATATCCATATACATTCCTTTCATAGCGAGCAATCAATCATGGGGAGTGATCTCAACGGCGATATCGAATTAGAGGCTGCGAGAAACGCACGGGTAAGAAGCGAGTTGTTCAAGTTTCTGTCTGGGGTCTTGAAATGGCAAACTGACTGACAAGCTAGACGCGAACTGCACCGTCCCATGGCTACAACTACCTTCTTGAAAGGAACCTTCTGGGAATGTCCGTCCGTCTGAACCCCATTTCGTCGAGGTCGCTCACCAACTGAGTTGTTTTGTATAGAATCGACAACCCCATCCTCTACCGCAACCCAACAGACCTCGAACACGACGTCAGGACCTTCCATGAGAACCACCGCCTCGCCAACGTCGTCGACGTCGAGCTCCTCATCCGCGGCGCCCAGCTCGCGCGCGACAGGGACAGCTTCCTGAGTCAGGGCCATCTGAGTGAGGTGGAGCGCAGCGCGCTGGAGAAGGAAGAAAATCCGAAATTACTGGACCAGCCGAAGGAGTTGAAGGTCGTCCTGCTTACATGCTGTATTGGGGCTATTGTGCAGTGAGTCAGTTGCCTTCATTTTTTTTTCTGTGATATGGCCATGCTGAGCATATTCTATGTCGACTTAGGGGCTGGTCGCAGGCTAATATCACGGGCGCCAACCTCTCCTGGCCAAAAGAATTCGGAATGAGCGACCAGGTGAGTCAGGGAAAGGGACCGGCAAGAGACCTCTGGAGCTTTGGGGCGGTGAATTCGGCGACTTATTTCGCTGCTAGTTTCGTGTATTGATCCATATCTCTCCTTTTAATGGAGTACTTGACTAACGTGTTGCAGGGGTGGCTGGCTCTCGGATCCGCTGAACGAGCACGTCTTTGGCCGCAGGGGCGCTCTGTTCATCGCTGCCATCTTTTCGCTGGCTTCGTCGATCGGGTCTGGATATGTGCAGAGCACGTAGGTTTATCTTACACCCAGAATTGCTGTCGATCTGACTGGTTTGGGATATAGCTGGGCTCTGTTTGCCTGCCGGTTCACGCAGGGGATAGGCATGGGAGCGAAAGCGTCGATTGGTAGGTGAGAACACGATCGACTGGACATTAAACTGACATGTTTTTTTAGTGCCCGTCTTTGAAAGTGAAGTCAGTCCACCCAAGATACGAGGTAAGCAGCCTTATCGCTGAAGTGGACATCCATCTGCAAGGACTAATACAGCTTGTTGTCAAGGTCGCTTTCTCGTCTCCTGGCAGACGTTTACAGGTAAGTCATCCTCTCGTATCACAGTCAGAATCATAGACTTAGTGCGTGACAGCATTCGGCATATTCCTCGGCTCGTGCGCAAATCTCATCTTCCACCTTGACTGGCGGTGGCAGATTGCCTCTGCGTTTATCCCTGCGGTTCCGCTGTTCTTCCTCGTTTTGATCTGCTCCGAGTACGTGAAATCATTTCTCAGGGGATAATTAAGTTCAGGTGTTGACTGACTGCAGATCACCGCACTGGCTCGTCAAGCACAATAATTACGAGGGTGCTTACAAGGCTCTCCGGGGGCTGAGAGACACGCCGTTGCAAGCTGCCCGTTCGTCTGCCTTGGTATATATCTCCATGCTATATGCATTCTCCCTGACATCTGTCCTCACAGGAGATCTGTACCAACTCCACTGCCAACTCCAAGTCGAAACCATCCTCCTGGGCAGAGGCGACGTCGAGCACGAGATCAACAGCTGGACGCGCAATGCAAACGACCAGCTGTACCAGCGCGAGATCAATCGCTCGAATTTCTTTAAGCGGTTGCTGCAGCTGTTTACCATTCAGCGGAACAGGAGAGCTAGTCTGGCGGCTTGCGTTGTGATGGCTTCGCAGTGAGTAGTACCTTAGAGATTTCAGATGGCCACGTCTATTGATGCGAGGTTCAGACAGCTCTCTGGAATCAATATATTTGCCTTCCTCGCTGCTAGCTTTATATTCTCAACCCTAGGCCACTCCGAGGAGCACCTATCTCCGGCGGAGCAGGCGGATAGGAAGATGAAGACTCTCTGGCTGAGTTTTGGCTTTGCGCTGGCGAATGCAGTGTACATACCCTCACTTTTTTTTTGCCTCCTGCTCAGCTAACTTAGCATTAAATCGTTAGATTCTCCCCCCTAGCATACTTCTCCATCGACAGCCGCGGTCGACGATTCTTATTGCTGCTGTCGCTCGTCCTCATGTTCCCACTCCTCATCGCCGCAGGATTCAGCCTGGAAATTAATAACACCGTTCGGAATAATCCCGCGCGAGTCGGGGTATTCGAGTTTTTTCTCATCTTGTATACGGCGGCGTATTCACCGGGGGCGGGTGTACGTATCTTTCTACTTGCTTGCCTACAAGAACGAGCTGTGATTAATCTAATTCCTATCTGGATGGTAACTGACTGACTGTGGAAATGGAATTAGGTCGTGCCTTTTATGTATTCGAGTGAGGTACGTATCATCTTTTCTTTTACTGTTCACTCAAACAAACTGACTTTATCGTCTAGATCTTCCCACTCGTCAACAGGGGTATGTATATGTATCGAACGCTAGTACCTACTTCCAGCTAATCTAACACTGCGTGTGACGTCCGCAGAGGTCGGCATGTCCCTCAGCTGTTCAGTAAATTTCCTCCTGGCAGGCCTGCTGGCATTGACTGTGCCACAGCTACAGAATGCATTGGGGCAGACACGATTATTGGGACTGTTCGCGTGAGTGCACACATACCAAACCATAAAATATATATATAAAAAGAAAATGCATTCTAACGAAATATTATATCAACAGCGGCCTCGACGCCCTCGCCATCATCCTCGTCTGGCTCTTCGTCCCCGGCACCCGCGAAACCGTCTCCCTCGAAGAATTCAACTACATCTTCGGCGTGCCCACTGGGCGACACATCGAGTACCAGATGGCAGAAGTGCTGCCGTGGATCGTGAGGGAATACGTCCCGTGGCTGTTCACGCGATACCTTCCCTGGGCTGTTAGACATTACTTCCTGCGCGATAGTAAGGCGGGGCCCTATCCCGGTGAGGAGTTGCCGGTTCTTGATGAGCTGTATTGGTGGAATTCGCTTAGGAGGATGGATGTCGAGGGGTTGGATGGTGACGTTGAGTCGATGAGTCGGTCGATTAGTCGGGTTTGTTAGCAACCATGTCACCGTTCTGTACTGTACAGCGTGGTTGAAAGTGTGGATTGGTTGGTACTTCCATTGAAAAGTATTGAAATCGTGAATATATGTAGGTGTAAGTGAACAGTACATACATTTGAGAAGAATTAATTACAGGAATGTGAATTGGCCGTATCAATCTATGCAGATACTTTTGCAGATATTTTTTACATTCATACATTCATTTATTCATTCATTCAATTTATTCTTTCTTTTATTTCTCTCTCTCTTTTTCAAGAGAAATCTCGGTAGTAAATACCTACTTTTTGGACTGGTCACTTCGTTCTATCTGGAAGGAAAGAACTATTATTATCTGGAAAATAGCTGCTACCTGCTACATACATCAATACAATGAGATATAATAACTTGACTATTATCGATCGCATCTTCCTGAGCAGAGGGTAAATAGACAAGGCTACCTACCTATTTCTGCGTCGACTGTCATTTCCCGAGGAAAAAGGCCATCTCTAGGGGTCTGGACGAGATATCCATTAATTGATTAATTCTGGCTGATTAATTCTGGCTTTGGGATCTGTGGGATCTTATTGTTGATGTATATTTCATAAGACCCTGCGTGTTTTTTCTTTTTTTTTTCTTTCTTTTTTTTTTATTTTTTGAATGAGGTTCTTGGACATGTCATCTGCTCCTGATGACCACGGTTGACGGGCAGCTCGTGGTATGCCATAACATGACCCCCTAAGAATAGATTTAGAGTAGAAAACATTTTTACGGCCAACATACTCGATCATCTTATCGCTCTTTCATTCGCTTTGTGCCCTTTACGCTGTTTTGGGCGATATTGTCCTCTGGCAACTTCTCCGGCCGACTTGCATGCCATTCCAGGAAGTCGCAATGGTCAAAGACTGGCTACAATCCACTCGTCTATTTCTTCCGCTGTTAGACCGTCATTCTCTTTCTTTCTCATTCTCATCCTCTTCTTGGTCTTCGTCGTCCCCGAGCAATCGACAAAACGCATAGTTACTGTTCCCGATAACGTGATCATTTACCGACAAGAAGGGCCACCTTCACCATCTCTTGTCACTCGGGCGATTATATCCTTGAAGTGACCGCTCAATGTTTCCTCCTTGTCAAACTCCAGGGAATAATCACAACGATATGACAGTGTTTGCTCGACTCAGTCGTGACTCAACATTTACTATATAAACAGTTCTTTATGCCCGTCTTTCCTTTCCTTCTCCAACAACCTAACATACCACCTCCATCCATACAGCTGATCCAAAACATCCTCAAAGTCTACTGCTTTACTATCAGCGATCGCTCACACACTCATTCATTGATACTATCCACTCTTTCTACAAATTTGACAATGGGAGAGAGCACGGCAGACCCATAGACGTTGTGCCAAAGAACCTGCCAAGGTATGTGAACTCCTATTTTATTGTTTGAATAACATGCGCTTTCGGGTTTAGCAAACATCTTTACTAACACTTTGTTTGCAACGAATGTGCGAGTTGATCTATCCCAAATGCGCCGAATGCTATGAGTACGTAACGGTGATATATCGCAAACCATGCGACCTGTTTAAGCAAAAGCAGTATGGTAGATGTTCTTTTCAACTGCATGATGATTTGGTTGAATTGGGCACTACTTGGATAGCATCTATGATGAGCGTGATGGAAGCGCAGGGCATCGATACCGAGCACAAGTATAAGGAGCCTGCTGAATAGCCTAAGTGGCCGAGGCCCGAAGGCTCTCGCTGAGAGGGAGACTGTGACTCCGTTTGAGTATATGATGGGAGGGGGGATTTGGATGTGGTTTGGTTTGGTTTGATTTGATCTGGTTTAATTTGATTTGATTTGATTCGATTTGATTTCATTTTATTCCATCTGGTTGTGAGAGTACGTGCATATCTATCTAATTACATACATGCATGCATTTCGGTTAAATAACATATTTGCTCTACTTCAAGGTTATTATCTACTCGTAGATATATGCATAGTTCCCTGCTACCCTGCATTAGTCACGACTTTAAGCACACCTTAAAAGGTATATACCGATGATGGAGAGGTTAGGCTAGGATTGAAAGATTCAAATGTACCTCATAGTCCCTTAATGTTTAGGGTTCAGGGTTCTTAACATATAGAACCTCTTTATCAAAAGTTAAAGAAGAAATAATATATTAGCTGGCTGTCTAAACTTGATAAGTCTATGATATTATTCTAATTATATGATATACTAAAAAATTATTGTTTTTTGCACCTAATTATAAGGAAGCTACAAAGGATACACTCCAGGACCCAATCTTTACTAAAATTCTACTACTTCCAGAAGTAATCACAGTATTTGGGGGCAATTGGTTTCCTAATTCTACTTAAATATTGCATTCTTCATATTTGTCTATTACATACATGCATACATTTCGGTTAAATAACATATTGGATCTTCCTAAAGGTCATTATCTACTCGTAGATATATGCATAGTTCCCTAAGTACAGTTATCTGGTTGTCGAACCAGCGGACACGCAGGTAATAACTATGATAGGTAATACTAATGACACATGGTGGATTTGACTCACATACCCTCTACACATGGTAACTTATGCTTGCACATTCACTTGCTGTGAGCAGCTATTGGATGTAGCGGTAAACCAGTATTTATTATTAACACGGTCATAGTTCATCTACACCGTCGTAACTGACTGACAAACTACTAGGTTGTCCTCCCCCTCTATACACTCCGGGATATATACGTTCACGCCATCTGTCTATCCACAAACAACCTTAGCAGGTCTAGATACCTCACCGTCTACAAATCGACTCTCACCTCATAGGCCCCTACAGAATATACCGGAATCCCGCCGCCAGCTGCGCCGCCGTCGGCCCATTCTTCCCCACGTCGAGACCCTGGTCCAGCTTCGCGTTTTGCCGCCGCAGATACAGCCACGTCACTACCGTGAAGGCAATAGCCAGCGATGCCGCAGCGAGATTGACCAGGAAGGCGGCCAGATACCGTGGTGGGGAGTAGTAGAGGTATGACGTCCAGACTGGTAATACCATCAGCAAGTCAATTACCAAAGAGTAATGTGAAATTGGGAAAGACGCACTGTTCGGCGTGTTGCACACCGCGTTGATCAGGGCAATGGCCGCCGCCCGCTTGGCGGTCGGCTGTGCCAGCGACCCGGTGATCCAGGACAGGATGACGATGGACGAGGCGTAGAACGAGCCTGGCATGAGCATCATGGCGACGTCTGTGCGAGTCGATTAGCTAGGCGCAGGACACGCACAATGTCTTGGGGGCGTACATCGTGCAGCTGTATTCAGCGACGACACGGCGATGATGTTCGCCACGAGCGTGATGACGAGTGGACACGCGATGTGGAGGAAGCGTTCTCGTTTCTGGAAACGTGTTAGCAACGATATTATAATATAATGGATTATATAGCTTACAATATCAGAGTGGAATCCGTTGATCATCATCGCTACCACGCAGAGGAGATACGGAGGCTAGTCTCGTCAGAAGAGCTTGACCATGATTCGATCAGATTGATTGAACCCACCGCCGTAAGCACATACGTCGTGTTCCTCGAATATCCCAGCGTCGCGACGACAGAAGGAAACCAGTTTGTGACCGCAGCCGCGACATAAGTCTGCACGAGTCAGCTATGTCCACGACGAGTTAACTAACTGCAATTCTTACACTCCACAGAATCGCCATCAGAAGCCATGTCTTCGGGTCCTGCACCGCCATGACCAGTCCCTTCCAGGCTGAGATCTCGTCCGCATTGTCCTGCTGGCCCTGGTCCTGCCCAAAGTTCCACTGCAGCCATTCGCGCTCCAGCGTGGTGAACCCCCGGATACTGTGCAGCCCGTTGGGCAGGATGACGGCGAAGAGGGCGGCGAAGCCGATCGTGGCTACGCCTTCGACCAGGAAGAGCTGGCGGTGTCAGACATATATTCCTGGATAACATTGAACAGAGGACTTCTACTCACCCACCGCCATCCCTCCAACCCGTGCGTCCCATCCAGCTTCAGAATCGCAATGGCAAACAACCCGCCAAACGCGTTTCCCAGCTGCGACCCGGCATACAGGATGGCCGTCCGAAAGGCGAACTGCTTGCGGCTGTAGAACAGCGAGAGATAGAACAGCGCGCCGGGGAAGAAGGCCGCCTCGACGAAGCCCAGGAAGAAGCGCGACAGCACCAGCCCGGTGAAGTCGCGGACGGCCGCTGTGCAGGCCGAGATCAGCCCCCACAGACACATGGCGCCGCAGATGTACACGCCTGGATATCGCGTCTTGCCGGCGATCATGTTGGAGGGGACTTGCATGAGGACTGTACAGTACATACATACAGGTTAGTATTAGGCAGCAAGGCAATGATAGTGTGTGCACGCACTGTATCCCACAAACAGCAAGCTGATGCACGTCTGGTACTGCACGTCCGTCAGACGCAGATCCTGCTGGATGCTGGCCAGCTTGGCGGAAGCGATGTTCTGTCGATCGAGGTAGTTGAGGATGTACATGATGACAACGCACGGCATGATGATCAGGTCCAGCTTCAGCGTCGCGCGCCTTGCGAGACAGGCGTATTCAGCCTCGCTGAGGGCTGCGAGGGCTGGAGGAGGGACCAGCTCGACGGCATTGACGGCCGGTTTGTCGATCTCGGGGGAGGAGGGCGTTGCTCTGGTGTCTGACATGGCGGCGTACTTCTCCGCAGGAACCAGAACTCAGCGAGGAGCAACTGTCAGGACCAGAAGATAAAAGACAACGTGCAGTGGAAAGATCAAGACAGAAGTAAGCCTAGATAAGCACCAGAACGGCCAGCTGAACCAGCACCCTGCCTCAACGGCGCCAGTCCGGACGAGCATCTAGATCCATATCTCTGAACCAGATGGTTGGCTGGTCGAGACGAGCAGGCCCTCTTCACCCCCAATCGTATAAGTATACCATCGCGATAACGTGCAATCCTGCCTAAAGGAGTGGTTGTTTTCCCCGCATTTCTCCAGAAAGTGCAAGTGGCTAGTCTGGAGTAGTGTAGCGTGGGGGTGCTTTGTGTCTCGGCAAGACTCAGTTCGGATGGTTGCCGACGTGGGGGCAGCTGAAGCAAGAATAATTAGAAATTGGACGATGAGAAATGAAAAGGGAAGGTTTTCCTAGCGAAAGACTGCCTATAAGGATGGAATATTGCGTGGTGCCTGTTTAGGGATGATTAGCCGGAATAATGAGATGAAGAAGAGTCCAGATTATTGTCAGATGTGGTAAGCAAGTTGACGGAATTGTTTTTATTGATTTTATTCTGGGTCCTAGTACGGAGTATTTTATTCCTTTATTCCTTTATTCTTTTATTCTTTTAATACTTTTGATTCTTTTATTCCTTTAATTCTTTTAATTCATTTTATTCTTTAATTCTTTTAATTCTTTATCCACATACAGAGACAAGATCATTTAACGTTAATGCTGCCCAATATGAGCTCTAGCCTCTAGATCAACAGTCGAATATCCAGATAACAAATATAATTCTTAGCAATACCTTTTTCTTTTGGGTTGTATTCTCACATTTTGTGATAAGACATGCTTAGACCAGAACTGAGGCTACTTCAGTCCTTTCTCTACTTCTCACAGGGATTCACATTGCCACAGTTTGTATTACTATAAAATGCCAGGTGACCATCTCATAGCGCTGTAAACTCCTCCAACTATTAGAGACGTCGAGGATCTGCGCAAATCAGCTGATCTACTGTATTGGGCATCTTAAACGGCTGGCCACGCACTAGATTGAGGAATTGGGCATCGCCTTCTGACATTCTCTTACAAAGACATCAGCAGTGACTAATGAATAGTATTCCTGCAGAACAGCTGGTTATTAATATTGGAATTCAATTCGAGCAGGGGTTATAAAAAAAGGCATAAGAAATGCACTAAAAAAAAGAAAAGAAAAGGCTTAATAATCCTTTGGTACTCCTCTCTTTGCTCTATTCGCAAGTAAAACTACAAAAAAACACCTGTCGTATAGCGTAAATGCTTCCCTTTTTTCTAGTTTTATTTTTCAGCCTTCCTGGCTTCCCATATTGCTCTAAACTCTTCCATTCTCTTTCATTCTTTTAAATAATCCTCTTTAGTAAGAGGCTCCCGTTTATGAGAGTAAATAAAGAGGTGCCACCCGTTTTTAACGTAGCCCTTGTCCTTGTCTCTTCCCTGCAAGTCTGGCCCATTCTTTTTTTGAATCCTACCCAGTTGATTCCCTTAATACATTATGCAACTTCAGCACTCTGTATACTGGCGGTATTAGGAAAGTTTGTTTATACTGCAAGCACAGACGATGGGGTTTTCTTTTTTATTTATTTGTCTCGTAAGAACGCATGCGGTATTTCCAGACAGAATTGTCTACAATCTACCACATTGCAGAACGTGCAATTAATGAATAAGCTTTAGTTAAAAGAATTGCTCTACAGAAACACTTTATCGACAACTCAGTCTGTGGAGAAATGGCGGTGGCTGCGATCTCGATCCGATCGAGAGGTCAGGTGGGTCCACGTGACTGTATATTGGGTGGCGCACGAATCTTTTCTGAATTTTGGGCCATTCTCTGCAGCGCGTACCTTGCACTCATCCTTTTTCTTTTTCGTTCAATCGATATATCCAGAAAGGGGGAAAGAGAGGAGACGAACGACTGGTTCAGCTTGCTTTAGGACCGATAAGCTTAAGGCTGGTTCAGCTCTGATGTCATCGGCCAAGCGCTACAGGTCACATTCGAGGCCAAACCTGCCATTGTCAAGAAGGGGAAATGGTCAGCAGAGGATAGGCAGCGCTACACGTAATGTCTTGGTCTCGTGAGGGGCTTCAGCAGTGAAGAAGGCCCAAACCTCAAGAATGGATCGCCGATCGCTGCATCAGGCGTCCCAAAGACCGGGAAGAACGGTGGGGATGGCCTCGCACGCCGTTGGCGCCAATCGTCGCCATCAGATCGAGATCTGCAGCCTGGGCGATCGGCTTTCGCAGTGCATGAACTGCCGTACTAATATTAATAGACGCTGCTCCTACTGGTCACATTCGATCTGCCTGCCCTTGCATCGCCTCAGCCAGCCTGGCGAACCATGCACGATGATGCCGGCCACGAGATGCAGAACCGTGACGTGTCAGCCTGCTCTTGGTCGATCGGGCACTGCAGTTCGTCCGGTGCGATGGCACTGGTGCAGACACAGCCTGCCATAGGCCCGGGGATGCGGCTGCGAAGATCGATCGCTCCAGCATCAATGTTCAGCCTCGTTGGAAACCGGTTTTCCTGCCGACTAGATGTCTCTGATGACCGGGTTCCTGCCCAGGAAAGTGAAGAGAGCGGCGCTGGCCGGCTGGAAGATGCCGGGCTCGAGTCAGCAGCCGAGTCAGAGCACGGCAGGAGCCATAAGAGGGCGCTGCGAGCCCCTCCTGATGGCTGACGAGATTGGCAGGACAGCATGGGTGTTTCTCGCGCCATGGAGACTCTGAACAGGCAGATGCTTTTGATGGCTCAGGCCAGACAGGCCGCCACTTTCGATCCAGAGAGGCTGACGATTGTCATCCACGATGAGTACGCACCCCGTCTGCGGGCTTAGTGACTCTGCTGACAGGCAATGGCAGCGAAGAGACAGTGCGATCCCGCCGGGCCGCCTTCCATCGCGTCGAGTCTGCGCTGGGTCTGTTGGACAACATGAAGCTGCCCAAGGTCTACTCGGGCCTGAACCGCGAGGAGCTGTACCTGCATGGACTGGAACGAGCAGCGGCCATCACCAACGACATGCTCGACTACGGCCACCGACACTTTGAGTTCCTCAACGAGCGCTACCAACTCTCCAACGCGACGCCGTTTGGACTGCATTTCCTCATGTTCCGCAAGACGATCGAGCTGCAAGGCACGCCCGAGCAGCAGGCCTACTGGCTGCCCCTGATCGACAAGATGCAGATCAACGGTGCCTATGCCCAGACAGAGCTGGCACATGGCTCGCATGTGCGTGGCATCGAGACAACCGCCACGTTTGACCCCGAGACAGACGAGTTTGTGATCAACTCCCCGACCCTGACATCCACCAAATACTGGCCCGGGGCCATCGGCCTCAGCTGCTCGCACGCCGTCGTCATGGCTCGATTGATAACCCAGGGGAAGGACTATGGCATCCACCCCTTCGTCGTGCAGTTCCGCTCCCTCGAGGACTTCTCGCCAATGCCAGGTGTCGAGCTCGGCGACATTGGCATCAAGATGTCGTATAACGGCACCTGCAATGGCTATGCCCGGTTCAACAACGTCCGCATCCCCCGCGACGGGCTGCTGATGGCCCACGCGCAGGTCTTGCGCGATGGCACCTACGTCCGAAGTGCATCTAAAGACGTCGCGTATTCCAAGCTGGCGTACGCTACCATGCTATACAACCGCGCCGTTATCACCCGGGCCGCGAGCTTCTCTCTCGCCCAGGCATTGACCATTGCCGCACGTTACTCGACCGTGCGCGAACAGGGACAGGGCATGAATGCCAGTTCGAACAACGAGGTCACCCTCGTCACATACAAGTCGCAGCACTACCGCCTTCTCACGCTTATCTCCCAAGCCTACGCCATCCTGTTCGCCTCCAAGGACCTCGACCAGCACTGTCGGACGTTGATCCAGCAGCAGAAGGATGGCAACCACAGCCGGCTTCCCTTCACTCACGCTCTGTGTTGCGGCATGAAGGCGTGGAGCACCACGCTGGCATGTGCCGGTGTCGAGGAAGCGCGCCGCATGTGCGGTGGGCACGGGTATGTCGCGACGTCGGGCCTTCCGGAGATTCTGGCTGCGGTGTCCGCAACTGTGACCTTTGAGGGCGAGAACTACGTCCTGTGGCAGCAACTGGTGCGGTATCTGTTGCAGCGGGTGGACGCACTGTACGCCGGCAAGAAGATCGAACCCGACCTCGACTACATCGCTCGGGGGTTTCCCACGTATTTTGTCTCTGGAAGCCCGTCCCGTTGCACGGCGAGCGGCACACAACTGTTGGAGCCAGATACCTTGCTCGCCATCTTCCGGCATCGCTCACTCCGTCTTCTCGCCGCGGCGCACAACAGGTTCACGCAGGCTATGCGTCGGGACCAGATGTCCATGGCGGACGCATGGAACAAGCACATGATGGAGATCCTCCACGCGGGTCGCGCCTACGTGGACTACGTGGCGCTGAGCTCGTTCCTTGACCGCATTGCTCTGGTCGAGCCATCGCTGAAGCCCGTCCTGACGCGGCTCGCAGCTCTCTTTGCGCTGACGACCATCACCAACCCGAACGCTAGCGGCGGGCTATCCTTTGTCGAGGACGGACACCTCTCGCTGGACCAGCTGGACACAATGCGCGAGCACGTCGATGATCTCCTGGCGCAGCTCTGTCCGGATATCATAGCGCTGACCGACTCGTGGGACTTTACGGACGCCAGCCTGTGCAGCGCGCTGGGGGCCAAGGACGGCAATGTCTACGAGCGACTGATGGCCTGGACACGGCAGCTACCAGTCAACCAGCATGCGCAGGAGCAGGGTGGGATGCTTGTTGAGCCGTGGGAGCAGGAGATCAAGCCGATGCTGCGGGCGCGGCTGTAGCGGCGGCAGCGGCAGCGGCAGCAGCAGCAGCAGCATACTAGATTTCTGCTTTTCATTATTATTGTTGATGTTATCCGGTTATCCGTCATGTTGAACGAACGTATAGTGGGGGAGCGGAAGTCATTAGCCGATGCCGTTTTTACACCACAGCAGCAGCAGCATACTATGTTTTTGCTTTTCTTTGTTATTGTTCTGTTATCCGGTTATCTGTCATGTTGAATGAGTGTATGTACATACCAGACCCCCATGACTGTACAACTTTGTCATTGTTATATATTGTTATATAAGGTTTGTTGTTTAGATCGTATACCTTGCACGAATACCACATGCTCATGAACTACCCACCAAAATCCACGAGATCTCTCCATTGCTGAGGTGGTTCGTAGGTATATCCCGCGTATGAGGTAGTGTGGGGGAGATTGTAGCAGAAACAGCTATTATTAGGAAATTATTCCCCCACTGGCTCCCCCACACTTAAGTAGTAAAGCAATAGTAGAGAAGGTGGGGGCAATCATGTGAGAACTATAGAATAGGTCCAGAGTACACTGCTATTCCTTCGCTATCTAGGTACAGTACGGTCCAGAGGTAGCTAGCTTAACTGTGCAGCTTTCGTGCAATATAATATAAGCATGACCATTCTCCTATGGCTGTTCTCGAAAAAAAACTGGAAACTTACGAAAAAAAAATAAGCTCGAGGGTTCCTGTGTTTACTCGCCAGTGTGGTTTCTCTTTTAGGTTCATCCTGGCATGTTCTATGTTCTTCTTTCTTTCGGATATTGTTGTTTATGTTGTTTCTGGGCTATTCTGAACAACGATTATTCTCAGACAGTAAGTAATACGGTAATATCTCATGAATTCTATAGAATACGGTCTTGCTTTTATATGACAGAGTGAGCTGAGGGTCTTTGTGATTAATCAAGCATGTATGTCTATATGCTTCGTTTCGCGGTTAACTCTTATTTTTTTTTCCTTTTGTTTTTCGAGGATTCACTAATTAATTAAGTTGTTAAAAGTATGAGAAAAGGACAGGTTCATGCATATGCAACTGCAATGACTAGTAACAATAAACTTCTCTCAACCATCGAGGTACAGATGTCAACACAGCCGAAATTGCAAAAGGAAATGAAAAAAAGGTCATTCAGAAAGGAAATTTCAGCAAATTTGCATATACTATTAATTCCCATTCAGGCATGGCGGCTGTGATATCCCTGCCCAATGAGATTACTGGCTCGGAATCCCGGTCCCGTCGACGGGTGATTCTTTATCCGCGAAGAGTACCAACTGTATGCCAAAGGCAGATCTACTCTGTACTCCGTATTCATGATATTTTAGAGTCATGAAGAATCTACACTTGCTCATTCGAATAATAATAATTATTTTTTTCCGGCTGTTTGTTAATCCGCTCAATTAGGATCTGCATTCTGGCGTCATCTTGGCGATCTTATCTGATCATCTCTCGCCTGGCACGTGCATTCGGCAACGGGCTCACGTGGTGATTGGCCGGAATCCCCGATTCGGGCCGGGAGTCGTTGCTTCTGCCAACTCGGATATACGGATGGATAATGCTGCTTGACCCCGATGTCGGTCGTCGGGACTGGCTGAGATAGTGGCAGAAATACGTGAGAGTATACGTATGAGTGTATTCCGTACATGAAGGGCGATTACGAGAGCTGTCTGTGTGTCGCTGCGTACCCACATGTGAATATTCTGCCTGGCTGATAACTTTCGCCTCATGTCTCCTGTGGGCCCTCTAGCGTCACCGACAGATATTTCTCTATCTCGGATTTATCATGTCGAATTTGCGCTCTCGCCGACGATTGACCTGGTTTAAATAGGCAGATGCGCCTAGACTGTGCAATGCCAAACGACACTGCTGATTCTGTCGAAATGGATGCACCTGCCGATACATCGCCATCTACGTCTCCGCCACAGCCAGATGCAGCACCCCAGCATGACAAGCTCGACCGCCATGAGACGCACCGTGATGCCGACCCCGAGGACCTCTCGCCCATCCAGTCCACGCGCTCGCGCGTCGACCCCCCGTCGACCCTCCTCGGCGAGATCTTCTTCGTCTTCGTCATCTGCATGGCCCAGTTCCTGACCCAGACCGGTCTGTCGCTGTCCATTCCCACCGCGCACATCATCGCCGAGAGCTTCAACACCGATGACCCCGGCCAGATGAGCTGGTTCGCCGCCGCGTACAGCTTGACTGTGGGCACATTCATCCTCGTTGCCGGCCGGCTGGGCGATCTGTACGGCCACAAACTGATGTTCGTCACCGGCTTCTGCTGGTACGGCCTCTGGTCGCTGCTCGCCGGCTTCAGCGTCTGGTCCGGTCCCATCTTCTTCAACTGCTGCCGCGCGTTCCAGGGCATCGGGCCTGCCATGCTGCTTCCCAACAGTATTGCCATCCTGGGCCGCGCATACCCGCCAGGACCCAAGAAAGGGATGATCTTCAGTCTGTTTGGCGCTGCGGCGCCGAGCGGGTTTGTTGTCGGTGGTGTCTTCGCTGCCATTTTCAGCCAGCTCGTCTGGTGGCCCTGGAGCTACTGGGTCATGGGCATGTTCTGCTTCCTCTTCGCCGTGCTGGGTCTGCTGGCCATCCCGCGCACCCCGACCCCCAGACACACCGACAATCTGTCCGCCATCGCGCGCATCGATCTGTTTGGCGCGGTGACCGGCATCAGCGGACTGGTGCTCATCAACTTTGCCTGGAACCAGGCGCCCCTGGTCGGCTGGACCGATCCGTACACCTACGTTTTGCTGATCGTCGGCTTTCTCTTCCTGGCTCTGTTTGCTTTTGTAGAGCGGAATGCCGCCTGTCCGCTGCTTCCTCGAGCGGTGTTTTCAGGTGAGCTCGCGTGGGTGTTGGGCTGTATTGCTGCCGGCTGGTCAAGCTTCGGGATCGTCATCTACTACTACTACCAGTTCATGGAGACCATTAAGGGCGACACCCCGCTGCTGGCACTGGCCAAGTGGACTGCCGCGCCTATCGTCGGAGCCATCGCGGCCATCATGACGGGCTTTCTGCTGGGCCGGGTGCCGCCGAGCTTTATCATGTTCTGCGCCATGTCTGCTTTCACGATTGGCAATGCCCTCAATGCGACGATCCCGCTGAATCAGACGTACTGGGCGCAGGCATTTGTCATTATCCTGATCACGCCATGGGGAATGTAAGTAATGCAAAACAGATTCTGTCTGCAACCCACTGACCTGCTTAGGGACATGTCCTTCCCCTCCGGAACGATAATCCTCAGCAACGCCATGCCCCGGCGGCACCAAGGCCTGGCCGCGTCGCTGGTCAGCACCGTCGTGAACTACTCCATCTCGATCGGCCTGGGTTTGGCCGGCACAGTGGAAGTGCACGTCAACCGTCACGGCCAGGACGTGCTCCGCGGCTACCGCGGAGCGGAGTACCTCGGTACGGGGCTGGCAGGGCTGGGACTGGTGATCTCCGTGTGCTATATGATCGTGTCGTGGCGACGATCTCGCAGGGAGCCTTCTAACGAGAAGGACGAAGAAAAAGAGGACACTGGTAGTGGTCAGTAAAAAGAGCTTTCTGCTGTATAAAAGGCTAATGCAGTATATACATCTCAACGAGTACATGTATATATGGTTCTGTGATGGTTATATACCGTGTATGTACATGTCTTGGACGAGTGGATTAGATAGAGTATAGATAGATATATAGATAATGTTAATGATGTATGCGTCGCATGATTGCAGGTTATCAGACCCAGGTTACTAGCTGGGTATTTCCTCCCACTCCCTTCTTCCCTTTTTTTTTAATTGCCAAAAAGCAATCTGTCGTTAGATAAAGAAGTGGATTGGGTCGAAGAGATGATATCTACAGTGAAGCTGGATGACTGCTATTAATTAATCCGCTATCTATACTCAAGATCACTCTGTTTCAATGGTTTATGGAGGTGAGTATATGAGCTATGAATGGGCATTATTTCTCTTTTTTTATATATATCTATCTATCCATAATGCGAGCTGCTTGCCAATATCTAGCTCAAAACGCATGATGTGATGAGAATTTTTTTTTCCATCCCTTATTGTTGTGTCTTGTGCGCCTTGTCGTAGCTGTGCAATTATAAAAATCTCATCCTCTTCCCCTTTCTCTGTTATTTTTGATTTTTTAATCTTTCTGTCCAGTCATAGAAGTATACAACTTTCGTCTACATTCGTGGCCGGTGACTTTTCTTCTCCGACGTCCCCCTCACCTGCTGCATGTAGCTGCCCTATATATAGTTAAACAACTCCATCAATATATCAATCAGCGAGCTAGATAGCTCAGCTATTGGGAGCTTGGCCTGTCCAGATCAGACGTGCCTTGCTTCTCCCCGGTGATATTTGGTTCTGCTTCCCTTTGTGCGATGCTATAGGTGCTGATACAGCTTGTTTACAGGTAGAAGCAGAATGAGACAGAGTATTTCTTGAACAGGGAGGGATGGTTCTGTTTCTGCCGGCTTTAGGTGAATCTGACGTAGACATGGTTATTATCCATACTATAGATTAAACCTATTATATATTTCTCTTACTATCCCTACTTCGTGTCTATATTTATCCATAATTTATTTAGAGTACTACTCCTGGATGGCTGGATTTACCTTTGTATAGAACCCAAAGCATCCACACAAAGGACTCCTGCTTTTGTTTGACAGGTAAGACTGACGCTTCAGGGAATGTTTTCTACATTCTGAGAACACGATCCATGGTGCTGGTCAGCAACCTTGCAACCTGGAGTCAGACGCTTTCCATCTCCAGCATCTATGAGTTCCCCAACAATGTGAAGTGCGTAGAGGTAGGCAGCTTGTAGTAACTGTCTTAACTACATGTACATGTACAGACAGCTTCCTGTGGTCCTCAGATTCTCTTTCACAGCAAGATCGACTATGACTTGAATGTCCGGCTCAACACAAACAAGACAGCAAGGCATCTCCTATCCTGGATCATTCTTGCTTGATCCTGGCTGGAAGTAGACGTAATCCAGCAACAATCTCAGCTGGCTGACCAACTGCAGGATCAGAACAAGATGTCTTTGCGGGGGTAGGGCGTGCTCCCATGTACAAGGCTCCCTTCTACTGGCGGAGGATCTGCTAGTAGAACTAGAGCATATCAGAGTTTTCCCTATACATCGTATCGGTCTGCTCTACCAACCAGCTTATAATCAGCCGTGCTGAGACCAGCAGTCATCATCCATGCACTAAATAATGCCTTCCTGTCCGTTCAGGGGAAAATCCATCCAAAAACCCTCCTTCTCCGGAAGACTCCTTAGAGCCTAAAATCAAGGATCCAGACGATCCTAATTTTGAGGTGGAGATTCGTAATTCAGCGTAACCCGACGACATGGAAATGCGGCGAGGCTATTACTCGTGGTTTCATTTTAGTCTAGGAGTTTTGACATTGCTTTCTATCTTTTGTCCTCTTAAGTAATACTAAGACTGCATCTTTCTGAAAATCAACAAAGAGTCTACCCACGGGTGCATGGAATAGACAGTGCGACACACAGAGCTCCCTCGTCATACATTTCTAACGGATAACAACTAGCAACTGTTTACGAAAGAGAAGAGGAAACGGGAAAGGAAAGAAAAGAACAGGCCAGAAAATATTTACTTGGGATTTGAATCTCGTTCTGTGGAATGCTTTTAATCGAACGACGATTCGAATGTGTCCTGGATGAAGCTGGTAATTCCGTATTCATTCAAAAAAGAAAGAAATGAAAGGAAAAGAAACAAATTAATAAATAAACAAGCGACAGCTTACTAGCGCAGGTGAGGTCAAACTTGTGCATTGATAGACTGAAAGCAACTACTCTTTTCATAGGCTATCCTGGCCAAGATTTCAGATTTACAATTCTTGTCAGTTTAATCGTTGAACACCAAAATGGGTAAAATAAATTGCACGTAGCATTAAATCAAGAGATATATATGAAAACTCGCAGACACGAGTTGTTGCTTTCTGCTTACATCCAATCGTCTGTCATTACCTACACTCCCCTGTCACTGATACTTACAATCATTTCATTCAACATGTACAACGTCATCAATATAAACATGACTAATTCATCCTCATGCCGACTTCATCACTCATAATACTTCTTCGCCGCCCGCAGCTCGTTGGCCGTCTCGAGATCATGCCCAAACACCAGCTTGGCGTTGAACAGCCGCTGCAGCCGGCGGATCATGTTCAGACTGCGGATCCAGGCGTTGTGGTCGCGCGCCAGCCAGCCATGCGGGTGGCTGAGCTCGTAGTTCTCCTTGATGTGGAACTGGTCCGTCGTCCAGATGAAGGTGCCGTCCTTCTCGAGGTTGATCTGCATGACCACCAGCCCCGGCGTGTGGCCCGGCGAGTAGTGCAGCGTGATGCCCTGCGCCAGGTCGAAGTGGTCGTCGTTGAACGTCGTCCACTTCAGCTTCTCCAGGTCCATGTAGTGCGCCAGATACACGCCCAGGTCCGCCCCCGTGGCCACAGCCCAGCATGCGTGCTTGAACTCCTCCTCGTGCACGTAGATGGGCACGTCCGTGCCGATGAAGTGCTCCAGCCCGCCCGCGTGGTCGAGATGCAGGTGCCCGATGACGACGGCTTTGACGTCCTTGATGTCGTTCCCAGTCGCCTTGATGGCGGCCGGCAGCTTCTGGTCCTCGCGGTACTCGACGCGGGGGAAGACGTCGGTGACGGGGGCAGGCCATTTCTGCGGCAGTCAGCAAGTCATGCCTATGTAATTGACTACTAGTGGCTACATACAACTTCGATGTTCTCCGCGCAGCCCGTCTCGAACAGGATCAGGCCGAAATCCGGATGCTCGATCAGGGCAGCCAGGACGATCAGCTTCCGGCGCTTGTGCTGGGGATTGGCTTCATGGCGAGTGCTGGTGTTACCTCCGCGGAGGAGCCTGCGGTCGTCAGCCAGGCATACGAATGCAGACACATCAGTCGAGCTACTTACCACCCCTCATCCGCCTCCAGCGTCCCTAGGTCGAGGATGTGCATCTTGGTGCCAGGGGGGCACTTGAAGGCCGGCACGGCGGCCTGGGCCAGCAGACGGGCAGTGTCGGAGCCGGACATGTTGCTCAATGACAATTGCTACAGAAGACAAAAAGAAGCAGCAGGATGCTCCATTGCGCTCCCCACGGTCCTCAGCGGGCCATTATATATGCGGCGAGGCGCTCGTGTTCGGTGCTGTTCGATTCTCTCTCTCCAACCTTCTCCACACTTTCCCCTGCATGCTTACCCCGCGTTCCGGCCCAGCAAAGCGGAGTCTGCACGCGGTGGAATACATAGCCAGCCTGCTTCCTTGTCTCCGAACCTGCACCCGAGTCATGGCACGGTCCTCCTCTGGACGAATCACATTGGCTGTATTCTAACGACCGCTAACTCTGCCCCGCGGAAAAGACCCCGGCCGGGGAGATCGGGATGCGGGCGAGTATTTCGGGCTAGAATTGGCCCCCGAACAGCACGACCTGTCTAGTTAGTGTGTATTAGAGTTGCACGGCTCCAGCAGGCGCTCGTTCGTCTTGCTTTTGGCTGTCGATCAGGCTTTGCTAAACGCCGTCTGACTTGCCGTTGGACTCGGTCCGAGGAGAAGCTTTCCTTGTTCTGCTCGGCATTTCCCCTCTGGCGAATGACACAATGGCAAGGAGTGAAAATGCTATGACTGATGGAATACAGATCACGCCGAAGAGGAGCCTGATGGCGAGTATTTAGATACATAAATCTGTATTGCTGCGGTAGCCATGGCGTAATAGAACCAACGATGTCACGATCATGAATTTTCGGGAATGTATTCTAGAGCAGCTCATCTCATGCCCATGTCTCAAAAATAGGGAATTGCCAATAGGCAAGCATGCGATACTAATCGAAGCAATATACCGATGCCCACTGAGACAACAACTTCATTCTGCACACAAATCCACGGACTCCGTATATATGGAGCAGGCAGCAAGCGGAGAAACCCCGTTTCAATGGAATGGCCAGACTCGGACTCCCGCCGATCCGGACCTAGGTACTCCGTAGAATCATGAATACTTTAGCCGAGCTGAAGGTGATGTATGCTCTGCTGTAATCAGATAACTCCGTTGCAAGTGGGATGTCATGATTCGAACTGGTATGCTCACATGAGATATGTAATTCAACTCTCTGCCCAAACATATTGTCCATTTAAATTCCACTCCAAGCAGGTATCCATGTCGTACTGCTGCAACGTTCTTTGTTCGCATTGAGTAACCCTCTGTAGATCTTTTTGTCGTCTTTATGCCGGTCGATCTGGACTGGTCATAGATGATGCCGCATCGTGTAGATCTTACCTACACCTCGTACAGACTCGTTATACAATCAATGCCCCCGTCAATACGACCGCGGCAACTCCAGCACGCGCTCCCCCACGTAGTTGCAAATCATCACTCTACTCACTGGCGTGCATCCTGACACTAGTGAAGCTGCAGATCATGATTGCAACAGTCGCCCTGCTTGCTAGATTTAAAATGCGGGGAGGACTAAAGTGCCGGTGAAGGTCGTGCAGATGGAAATTCCCTGCTGCCTGTCAGTACTGGCCGTGTTCTCACTACTGACGACGGATGGGACTCCGAAGACATCACTGAGCCAATAAACTGCTAGCCGGCAGCAGTCTGAAGCTGATCGTGGATCGAATGTGAATTCTGACGATCTCAGTCGTTTGAGTTCCGTCTGCTGCTATAGCGGTAGCCCTCGAGAGCATCGATAAACCGGAACAGTGAAAGCTGTCGCATGACATTCTATTGCATATATATCCCAGTAGATAGTTCTTACCATGCAATGTTATCGAGGACAAACGGACGATCATTGCTGGTTTATGCGCTGCGATCACACGCCTATATAGACTCATCAAGACTATGCCTTACAGCCCGATCAACAGCATGGAGAAGGTATTTTCCCATCCGCAGACGCTGGAACGCAACATGGTCGAGACGGTCGAACAGCGGGCATCGGTGCACGGGAAGATCAAGGTTCTTGGTAAGTACCTCCGCCAGGCCTCGAAATTTCGTATGCTGACATGTGCAGGCATGCCGGTCAAGTTCAGTGAATCCCAGCCATCGATACGCGGAGGCCCGCCGGGGTTGGGGGAGCATACCGACGAGGTTCTGCAGGAGATAGATTTGTCTAGAGAGGCAATCGCTGACCTACGCAGGGAGGGGGTCTGCTGAATATTGACAGAAACTGGTTTCCATCTGAATATGTAGGTGTGCGGCCTTCTTATTTAAAATAGATTTTGTGGCGCGTTTAGGGAAGATCATTTTCATCGATGTAGATCTCCGGGAAGTTAGTTGCAGTGGAATTAACAACAGTGTCTGTATTGTGCTGCTATCCTGGTCTTGCTGGCGATCTAGGTCAGTGTTCATCAAGTAATTGTTGGCGTTTCTATGCGACTATATTGTGTGTGATCGCGAGAACTATCAGAGCATGACGCTGCTGAATGCCTATTTCGAGGATTGGTCGTATTCAGTAATGCCTGAGCCAACAAGGCCTTCAACATCCCAGACTCCTGCCCTTCATGTGGGCACGCTTCTCAGCATACCTTGCCGGTTGGTACGACTCAACCTAGACGTCGCCTGAGCCGGATAAGTCCAAGGACCAGGTGACAGAGTCCAACAAGCGGACGTCGAGGGGTACTCCTTTCATTTACCATTGTTCATGCAGTTCTTGGACTAACTGTCTGGATAACCTGTCCTCGGGTATGGCCCTCCTAGTCTGCTAAAATGGTCTTGTCGCCCAGAAGTTGAGCAGGCGTGAAAGGAATGATCTGCAAGTAAGAACTGTTGGGGACAGATATTCAGTATCACAGATTCAGCTGTCGGCAGCTGAGAGTTGTCTCTGAGTATGTAGAAGGCGTGCAAGCTGGGCCCGTTAGGAATGGTGGACTCGTATGAATCTGCTTTTCATGTAATCAATGATCTGGAAAGGCTAAAGATTGAGGGGATGTAAGCATAGAGGGAGTTTATCGAGGCATTTCATTGATGAAGTATCTGTAATGAGTGGAACAGATTGGATTTGGGGTGTGGCAGAGACTGGGCAGGTGACTCGAGATGCGACGCCAGCCCTGACCCTAGGCCCTAAGCCCTAGTCTGTCGGTGACCTCTACGGTACAGAATGGGCCATGACTATATTCTTAGCAAAGGATGTTCTCATTGAATATGGACTTTCCTTGCTACTTTACATGAGGACGATTAGGTTCACGAGGACTGCCACAACTCATCATAATTTGTTTTTGTGTCGCACGAACAGTGTGATTTTCAAAATTAGTCAAACACAGCTGTCAAAAAATGACACAGATACCTCCTACTCCGGCTTCTGCCCGATGACTACGCGTCTGTGAAGCGTAAGCATTTGCAGAATCATTTTTAATCCGGAGATGGAATTGAGGTGAAAACAAAATAAAAACGAAGAAAGCAAAGATAGAATGGAAATAAGACTTACATTTCATGCATGCAATGGACATCTCTTCTCTTGCAATCTTCCTTGACTTTCGCATTAAAGACCACAATCTCCCCCTTGGACCAACCAAGTATCTCGGAGAAGAGAGCAGCAGTGAGACCTTCAACACCTTCGATGAATTGAAGAGCAGTAAAGGCTCCAATCTCTTTCTGTACTGACATTAGCAGACTTCAACAATTAAAGAAATGAAGCAAACTTGCCAATCGCTTGTCCTTTGGCCAGGTCCCAACAGGCACCTTGAAAATCTTCTCTTCGACATTCACGAACCCAGCCTTCTCGACTTCGCCTTTGATCTGTGGTGTGAAGTCTCCTGATATGCCAATTTTCGCACAAGCGTCGATAAGACCAGTCATCAGCTTGAGTAAGTTATTGTCGGCTTTCAGTGTGCCATCCTCAGAATAGAGTCTGTTCGTGGTGTCTTGGAATTCGACCCAACCACCTGGCCTCAAATTCCTGTGTAGGTGGTCAGATTTGAACTCATAAATCCCTATCTTTTGCGGATGCACTGACTGGTAGCATTGACGCACGAGTTTCGGCCAGTCCCTGATCGAGCCTACCATATATCGGCAGTGGATGAAATCGTATGGTTGCGGGTTCGCCCACTCTTGCTCGACGTCATCGACCACAAATTTGACATTCGGAGGCACCCTTATCTCGTTAGAAATATCCAAGCACAAGGCGATCGACCGCCTTTTACCACTGCGGCTGAATTGGACTAAGATCATTACCGACGATCTAGAAGTTATTAGTAGGATTCTTAGAATGTCCTGCTATAATCTCACCAATTCTGCTGCAGGATAAAGGTCCCCTAGTATTCTTAGCAATGATCCCGTTGATCATCCTGGTATGTCATACCTAACTGAATTGCCCAAATTCCTGTGCCCGTCCCTATATCTAGAACTCGCTTTCCGTCCAAGCTGATCGGAGCAAGAAACAACCGGTCGCCTAGAGCTCGATAGTAGACGTGATGGCACATATCAAGCCGGTCCTGTTCCTCGTCGTCATTTGGGAACTGGTAACCTATACCAGTTTCTGTTAGGCAAATGATCCAATTGTGATGGTATAGCGACAGCTTACTTCCTGCATGGTAGCTGTGATAGCGACGTCCATGCTTGTATTCATGGGCAAGGACACTTGATGTTACTGATGTGGTGTAGCTTGATCTGCGTGGAAGTCAGCAAGCCCGCAACAGAACTCTTAGATGTTGTAGCATGGAGATACAGCTCATCTCCGTAACTCGAATCCTTCTCCTGTTTAGACTGTCAGTGCAAATTCCATCATGCTTCTGGTAAATGCACACATCGCCAATATCAATCACCGCGTCATCAACTTCAATCACTGGTCCTGTGTTTTCTGGTTGGTTTTCCAAGTGTTGTGTCATTTCGATTATGCCTGTCTCTTCACACAGGTTCGTGGAAGCGTTAGGGAGATTTATCTCACTTAAATAGACCCTGTTCTCTTATTTTGCCAGCCAGTAAACTAGCTATCACAGCAACAGAGTCAAATTTATATTGTGCACTTGCAAAACCCCGCTTGAGTAAAGTTCGCAAGTGTCTGTGCGGTGATATAGTTCTGTAACTCGACACAAATGGCAACGCGGAACAGGGGTATCTGGCCAATGCATCTCTTCCATTGGCGTGTCAAATCTCAGGAGAGATGCCATGATAACATCCTCTGTTATGACCCTTTATCCTGCTATTGGTCCATCGTATGCCAACGGGGGAAACATAACAGGCCTCTCTCGAATGTTCTTCACGACCAGCTTCGGATAGCAAGGATCCTAAGGCGAATCAGCATCAATTGCTTTTCTCGTGTTATCAATAGCTGCCTACATCGTCGAAGAACGGTATAATTTGGATCCTCGTCCCCAAGTTATGTCTCCTGCGGGCTGCGGCACCAAATGCATCGCATATTCCCGCTTCTGAGAACACGCTTCCCACAGGGATACCAGAACTGGGGAGGAAACTTGGTCAGCTTGTTGATTCGTGTCCGAAGGTCGTCTGTCTTTACCGCTCTCTCATGCTGATGACCAGCAAGCCACATATATATCCTCTGCCCAGTCGCATCCGTCTCTCCTCAATCTGTCATCTGCCAGCTGGGCTTCGTCCACGTAAGACAATACTCAATCTCCTCGTCTACCCCTCTCAGTGTAAACACAGATCCACCGCGTGTACTGGTCGCAATCGCAGTATTCAGACAGTCGCGGAGGAAGGCTCTTTTCAACCTCTGGATCACAGATGGGGCAATATCAGATCAGCGAACGACTCAACAACTCATTGCCCAGATGTGGCCGCCGACGAGACCTTAATTCAGGCAGATCTCGCATCCGCGGCACATAGCGACATTCCTTGGACGGCTGGTCAGATTCGATTTCGACAAGAGTCGACAGATACAGCAGACCTCACAAACATTAATTCCTCACTTCTGACACGGAAATGCATTTGCAGCATCGCATTTGAGGTTAAAGAGTCGGACCTCAATCTCTTCGTCCGTTTCTGGTCCATGAAAACCGTAAATCGGAGGACGCGATTTGTAAAATCCCCGGAATTCCTGGCGCATGCGGAGACCAAGCCCGTCACACAGGGCCACCCGCTTGAGCCGATCGAAAACCTGCTTCGACTGTAGGACGAGAGCGCGGAGGCATGAACAGGTCAAGCCGACATTCAACAGGTCGAGGGTCGAGAGATACTGCGCCGTCCGCATGAGCAGTTCGTACTGCGAAAAGAGAAAGACGATGTCAACCATGATGTACCTAATCTGGGATGTAGGGATTCATGGACATACCAAACTAGGTTTAAAAGATCAAGTACAGGACAAGGAACTGTAAGACATAGATGCATTCATAAGATCTGAAGTGGGTCGACGATTGTTGCCTGCCAGATCTGCAACTTGCAGCCACCGGCAAAGACGATCAGCTGTCGCCTGTTCCTTTTAGTATTACTAGTTTCTCTGCATTTGACAAATGTTCTGCCTTCCATAAAAAATTTATCATCACCTTCTTTGTGAGTTACTATTTATTGACTGTTTTGATTCTGTGGTGCTATTGTGTGAATATACATTTTTGTTTTCTCGTCTATGTATATGCACTACAACTGAACCCGTCATTGTTCTTGAATTGAATTATCCTATTTCATGACTTACATTGCAGAAAAGGGTTCTCTTTTGTTGCTTAATTTTCCACTTTAGATTTTGTTCCCGGAATTGTGCAATCCAATATAATTATTAGTACAATACTATCATAGGATTAACTTCAATGCCTAATATAAGGGAAAAAAAAGCAAGATATCATATTAATAACACTACTATATCCAATAGATAATAGTAAACTATTAGGATAGATGTATTTATATAGAGAGAGAATCCATATTTCTTAATTATTAATAGGTGCTAAGATACAAATAGAAAAACCAGCTATTAAAATAAAAAGATAATCTATACCTTTTTCATCCAACAAATATGTATACCTGTCTCAGATATTTATATAAATTCTACAAAGACCCCCTCCTACTATTCGAGGGGCATGTAACTAAGCTATTGCATTCGGTGACTCAGGACCATCATCGACACTACCATCGAGCGACTCTGGATCAATCCTACGAAATCAATTTTGAAGGGTAAAACGGCATTTTTCCGGATGAGAAGTCATCACCATACCCTAATTCGAGGCATACACCGAGTAAGGCCTTCCCTAAGGGCTCTAGGAACTGCTGCCAGCGCGAGCAACCGCAAAGCCTCCCGTGCACCGGCATTTGATCCTTTGAACGCCACATTACACACGGGCCCATTTCCACGGGTGGCCCTGTAAGTGTCCAATTCAAGTCTCCCACCAGCAAGTTCCACGTAGGGGTTCTGCGTTCGAGGATTGTCTTTAAAAACCAGTTCGGGGTCTTTAAAGATCGACTCGAAACAAACGGTCTTGGGATTTGGCCAACGTCCATGTTGAAGAGCCTGAAATTCGAATCTTTCTAGGTTTGGTATATTCTCTTGCAGCCACCCAAGGAACGATGCCCAACTTCCGTCTTCGTCGATGTGAATGTCGCACAGTTCAATTGAGCGGATTGTATCCTTGAACCGGCCCACGAACTTCGTAAGCTGGGCTTGTGTAAACCCATTTGTTACGAGCATGAGTGTCTCGACGGGAGGCACCACTCGCGGCGTAGCAGCAATGTCGTTGAAAAAGCGATGGTGCAGACCTGGAATGTAGCCCCCACAGGTTGCGAATCTCACGCATAGCTGCTTCAGATTCGAGCATTTAATAAGAAATGACTCGACCCATTTCAGTTCCCTCATCCGTGGATCCAGCTCGATCTCCAGAGCCGGAATGAGAGCGCACGCAGCCTCCAGCAAAGGTTTGCGGCATGGAGTCGCGTGGACCCATACTAATTTCATAAGTCCCTATGTAGTGATCACACAGCTTGATTCCTCTAAAAGGCAGGCTCGTCGCTGCGCAGATAGCAAGTATCGCTTCAACAGTCCTCTGCAACGAAATTTCATGTTCCCAACTCTTTTTCGCATTTTCTCGAATGCGGTACTGAAGCCGTAATCGCTTACAATTTGGAAGCTTGCTGACAATATTCTTGAGGGCGCGAATCTCATATATCTCGTCAGGCTTTGCGATATACCCTAGGTCATCTCGTTCCCACCCGGGTGTTCTGGCGTTTCCCACTATCCTCCTCTTTTTCGTCATTCTAATAGAGACGTTCTCGACGAACTCTTGCGCAGTTGGATAATGAGCACATTCCAACACCTTGTGCAGACCTGTCCGGGTGAATTCACCACCGATATGCTTAAATATAGTGCCGCATTATAGTGTTTATCTCCATAGCTGGTGAGAAGGCTGTACAAATTAGTGGTATCTAATAGTTGACCTCTATTGGCTCATGAGATCACTAATCTAGGAAATTAACATCACAACCGGTCAATGTCCCTGGATTGAATTATTTATATTTTGTTCTCGGCGTTGTGCAATTCAATACAATTGTTCGTGCCATCACATAATCGACTACGATACCCTATATGAGAAAGAAGAGTAGGATATCATATTAATAATATTATTAAGCCAATAGATAATAGAAGAAGATTGAGATATTCGTAAATTTATGAAGAAATCCATGAGGCTTGGCTAATAGGCACAGAGTAGCAAATGAAAGAATTAGCTGTCAGCAAAGATAACGTCAATTCTTCCTTACATTTATCACGACATATATAGCTGTCTCAGTTATGTATATAAATTTATAGAAGACTCCCTGCTACTATTATTGGAGTATATCACTATGTTAACTTGGCTGCTGCTTCCCCGCAGCATTTCGCAGGTCAAGCCTGAGCACGCAATCGCCTTCGGGATGGCGAATGACAGCCACGCTGACAATTCATTCTTCATCTCCCCACAACACGGATCATCTGCTAGACATCAAGATTGACGTCTCGAACCGGTGGAGGAACATCTCCAGGCTTTGTTATCTCTTCTTTGTCGATTGGCATACCATCGGTAATATGGAGACGCTGGATATCAAATCGGTGGCCATTATTGGGGCTGGAGCGGCAGGTAATTAATCTCCATCCACTTGTTTTCATTCACTCACTATGGTGGCTATTGTTGGAAATGTTCATGTATAGTTACACGTCTCCGTAGGAGCCGCTGCAGCTGCGGCCTTTGCAGCGGAAAAGTACTTTGATCGGATTCGAGTTTTTGAGCGGCGGGAAACGCCTGGAGGGACCTGGTATGAATGGTTAATGATGGATTTGTAAAGAATCAGATGTTTGCTAACGTGAACTGAATGAAGGATATTCGATCCCGATCCCAACCCGCTCATCGTCCCTCAGCCTGGCAAGCTCCCTCCGGAGATCGATCCTCCGTTGGAGATCCCCCAGAATCTACCAGCGACCACTCCGCCATCCTCGCAGGAGCGATACGACAGGACGCCAATTTATGCTGAGCTGACGTGCGTGAACCCCTTATCTGTCTAGAGGTCATGCTGACTCCCGACAGAAGCAATGTCCCTGCCATCGCCATGTCCTTCTCTGATATCCCCTTTGCCTACGGCCCCTTTGTGCCGCATTGGGTGCCCAAGCAGTATATTGAGAACTACTTCTCCGCGCATCGGACGGATGAGTTTCTCGTGCTCAACACCACCGTCGAGGACGTCTCCAAGTCTCCTGGTGGTCGACATCGCTGGTCGCTGACCCTGCGGCAGCATGATCCTGTCGCCAAGGTAGATCGCTGGTGGAAGGAGGAGTTTGATGCCCTCATTTTTGCAAACGGCCACTACAGCGTCCCATACGTATGGTTCTCCGTGTGTAATCAATTGCCAACGTATGAGAAGATACTGACAGTACATAGGTACCGCACGTGAAAGGCCTCGACGAGTATATCAAGATCTTCCCCGGCCGGGTTCTTCATTCCAAATCCTTCCGCTCAGCAGAACACTTCAGACAGAAAAATGTCCTCGTCATCGGCAACGCTGCCTCTGGTCACGACGTGGCGGACGCCTTGGTGAAGACGGCGAAGCTGCCAGTCTACCAGTCGCGAAGATCACCAGCCCGCTGGGACGGCGACCGTCCTCCAGCCGGGATCGAATGGAAGCCGATTGTGAAAGAGTACCTGTCCACAGGAGAGATCGTGTTCGACGACGGGTCTGTACTGTCGGACATCGACGTCGTCATCTACTGCACGGGATACAAAGCCTCGTTCCCGTTTTGGAACACGCGTAACAACGGCGCTCCGCTGTGGGATTACGCCCAGGATCGTCTCGTCGGGAACTATCTGCATACTTTCCTCAGGGAGTTTCCTACCGTCGGCCTTGTCGGTGTGCCCCGGACGCTGACCTTCCGGTCCTTCGAGTACCAGGCCATCGCTCTGGCGCGGGTGTTTTCAAAACGGAATGCCATCCCCCTGCCGTCGAAGGAGGAGCAGGAACGCTGGGAGAGGGAGCGATGGGAGCGCGTCCGCCGTGAGAGACGCCGATTCCACGACATCCCGTGGGACAACGGCGAGACGATCGAGTATCTGCGACAGCTGTTCGAGATTGCAGGCTTGCCGCGGATTGAAGGCGCGGGTCGGTATCCGCCGGTGCTGGGGGAGCGGACGAGATGGGCGATTGAGCATGTCAAGAAGTTTCCAGAACCGGGAAAGGACAAAGACGACGACGATGAGAGGGAGGAGGAAGAGGGCTGGACGGTGATATCGCCTGGGTCGTATAAGGATAGTCTATATTTTATATGAGTTTAATGCAGAGGATCTGGAGTTATTTACGATTGGACGTTAAAAAAATAAGAAAATACTGACATTTCAAGTCAGATGAGAGCAATCACTTGATAATCAAATCTCGACCGGCTCTCTCCCAGACACATTCCCAAGTCCTACACCAGTGCTGCATGTATTCTGCAAGAAATCATAACCCCATTTTTAGTATATCATTTACCATCGCTTTCTGCTGGCATCAATCTTGTGTTTCCTACGACTGGTGCTGGAACAGTCAAACCAATAACAGCTAGTTGGCAGAGGATTAGCAATCTGTCAGAAAAAGAGGAAAGAAAAAGGAAAAGCAAACCTGGATTCACAGTCTCAGCAGTGCCATTATTGCCAGCTGCAACGCCATTCACCTCCTCATCATCCGACTTAGCCTCAGGACTGCCCCTATCTCCCTCAGCAGGCTTCGTCTCGTCATCAAAAATCCGCTTGACGGATTCTTCCAGCAACAGCCCGATAAGAGCCTTATTCTCTTGGTCCTCGCGCAGGGCTCTAGCGATGGACTCTTTCTCCCTCCGGTCGAGCTCTTCCCTCTGGCGCTGGATCTCCTGCAGTTCCTGGGCCAGCGTGTCTTCGAGCACGTTCTTGTTCAGCTCCATGGCCTTGATCTTACTTTCGACTTCGAAGTGCAGTTCTTCGAGCTGCGAGGTGCGCAGTGGATCTTGTAGCGTTTCGGCCAGTTTTATGGCTGATAGGATCAGCGCTTCTACGCCTCGAGAGGTCGTCGGGAGTCGATGGACGGCGGTATGTCGGAGTTTGTTCGTCGCAAAGAGGACTTCGTTCAGCGATGGGCCGCTCAGTCTGAAGGCGTGCTTGGGGAACTGTGTCGACTTTTTGGCGAAGAGTCTCGTCCACTTCGTCAGTTCTACGGCTGCAGGACAGTCCCATGCGTGCTCCTCAAGAATCGATGGCATCCATTTCTTGGTGAACTCAAAGCAGCATTCTTCCAGGACGCATTGCGCGGTGCAGAGAATGGCATGCTGAGCGCGATATGGAAAATAGGACGGATAGAGTGACGGAATATTCAGTTGCTCTGGCGTAGGCTCGCGACCTGAAATCATGAATCTGCTTCAGCGCACGTAATATCCGTGACTTACCTGTGCCGGCATCGTCTTTATCCGAAGGCACTGGCGCGACCTCGTTCTCATCTTCGTCTGCTTCATTCTCCCGCTCCTCCAGCGAGGCGATCTCCTCCAGCAGCTCTGCCGCTGACCGCGCAGCGTCATTCTCCGACGCAGCACGCTGGACGTCTCTGGCTGGAGACGAGACAAACAGCTCCGGAAACTCGATCTTTGCTTTTACTTCCGACTGAAAGATTTGCTTTTCCAGCAGAGTCTTGAGGATATCAACCACTTTGTCGAGTGTAAAGTCTCGGATCAACGGACGCAGAGAAGCTTGGTGTTTGAGCACGACTTCGCGGATCTTCTTCTGCTTGCGGAGCTGCGCATTGTTGCCGGCGAAGATGGCTCTGCAGGCGAGGTAGACTCGTCGTTTGTCGGCGGATGGATATGCCATAGCTTGATGGACTTTGAGTTAATCCTAACCCATCTGTACTGAAAGGATGAATGTGATAATTCTTGATAACCGCTCCTGGAACTTCTCAACAGATAGATGCAAAGCAATCAGAGCAGGCGGGGTATTGCGAAACACGGCAACTTGCAGAACAGATGTGACTGCATGCTGGCGTCTACGTGGACAAATGAATGGTGGTTGAGATGCGTGCAGTACCATAGCCTGAAAGACGCAGTAGACACAGCATTGAGGGATTAGTCCTAATATGCATGCAAGTTCAAATAAGTGCAGGTATATCCCGGTCTAATTCGTCGTGTTCAACATTCTCCGTGGATTAATTCGCCTGCTTTTCTAGTGTTGCGATGGGATGCTGTTAATAATTCTTGCATTGCAAACAGTCCTGTATTATATAATAATGTAGTCTAGAATGAATTAAGAAGCCATATAAAAGGTAACTTTATGAGCAAGTGAGAAAAAAGATCTAGGCCAGAAACTAAGGTCTATTATCTATATCTATCTCATATTCCGCAAAAAGTTCGTTGAGCCTAGGATATACTTTCAATTCGGCAAACAGCAGCTCAGCATGTTTTATGAACAACCCAAGCAACATGACTGCACTTTGAATAAAAGCGTAACGAGATATTTAATGACGTTTCAACTGCTTTGTACAGTACTTCCAATCTCAAGGCGAAACCCAAAAATCTAGCCAATCAGTTCAGCCGAGGAAGTGTACTTTTTCTCCGAGTGTATACCAGAACTGGAAATACTCCCTTTGCTCATTGCAGTAAGTACAGAGTAGACTGCAAAACAAAGATAGTGACCATAAACACTTTTGCTGTTTTAATTCTGTGCAACTCCACTGACGCTGGCGGATGGAATCCGGGAACGGGAAAGGATCTGCATGCAAATTACCAAAAACTGCATAAGAATTATCACTAATTTACAAATTGCTTTTGTTAGTAATTTTTAGTCTTGCCAGTGTAATAGCGCCACCTGGTTTTGTCTGGATACAGAATTTAACTCCTATTCAAACATGCAATACCAACAACCAACAAACAAGAAATGTTAAAGCACAGCATGTCTTCTGCAAGACGGGGCTTATTCCTCCTGACTTTTTGTACCATTTACCTACTCTTGGCACCCATAGCATACGATGCTGCTAGCAGATGGTTATTGACGACAGAGCGCAACACCAAGTCTGACTGCTGGCCAGATATATATTCCACGTCTCTCTTCTCAAACCATCGCCATTTCCTGAATGGCTGGTTTTGGGCCGCAGTGCTCTTTCCCCTGGCCGAAAGGTTTGAGAAGATCCTCTGGCGCTCTTTTTTTGCTGATGGCGATGACGAGTTGTACGGTCTGCATCATGCCATTCTCAACGTGGAGGTGCCTCCAAAGAGCATGTGGATGAATATGGGGTATTGGGAGGTATGTGGAATGTTATCCATTTGTATGAAATATAGGAGTATTGCTGATGTTGGAAGCATGCGAAAACATTCCCCGAGGCGTGCACATCTCTTTTGCAAAAGGTGCTCCAGACAGCTGGTCTGTTGGATGAGGATGGCAAACCACGAATATTCCAGGGCTCCGCGAGCATCAAACTCGTTGACGTCGGTTTTGGTTGTGGTGACCAGACTCTCTACCTGACAAGACAATTGTCGCGCGTTGACGATCGCGACAGACAGCGCCCTCTATTCGACAATTATGTTGGTATTACGATCAATCGTCATCAGGCGGAATTTGCGCGCCAACGCCTCTCAGAAAACACCGCAGAGACAGAGACATGGACGCCTAATGTTCGAATATTCTGTGCGGATGCCGCAAACCCTACCTCATGGAGCAGTGAGCTCCGCGATGTTGTATCCAGGCCAGTGTCTGAAAATGAGTCCTCTAAAGAGTCTACTTGGCTGCTTGCACTGGACACTCTCTACCATTTCAAACCGTCCCGCCAACCTCTCTTCAATTATGCCTATGAGCATCTCCACGCATCAATCATGGCTTTCGACCTGATTCTCTCCGACTCAGCCTCGATGATTGACCGGATTCTATTGCGTCTAGTCTGCCTTCTTGCCTCCACCCCGTTTTCTAACTTCAAGACGCACTCTGAGTATAGACAGATGCTGATCACGGCGGGGTATTCATCCGATAGTATTGAGATGCAGGACATCTCTGAGTATGTATTCTCTGGTATTGCAGGATATATTGAGCGGAGGGAAGCAGAGTTGAAACGGTTTGGAATGGGTCTGGGCAAGTTGAGACAGGCAGGAAAGGTGTTTGGCTGGTGGGGGAGGAGTGGCGTTGTAAGTGGGGTGGTTGTCGTCGCAAGGTCGCCTTCCTCGTAATGGCTTTATATGGTGATGTTTGAAGGTATATAGAGCTATGGAACTTGGAGATATGGTATCATAGCCACTTTACAGAATAAAGTCTAGCTCTAGTTGGCTCTTGTCTATAACCTGACAAACAATTTACCAGTATAATAAAAATCAAAGTTATTAATACCAAAAAACACATGAATTCATCGATATGGGATAGAGGACTCACTTCCTCACAGGGAAATGTGTTTGCTAATATATATCTCTGTCGCGGCTAGAGTCTACAACTACAGGCACATAATTAATTCCAGCCTAAATATAGCAAGTTGATGCAGTTTCATTGCGGCGTATCGCGCGCTTCGGACATGGCTGATGAAAGCGCTTATTTGTTGCTGCAATCCCGGTCACCTACAACCTGCCGAAAACAGACACCATCGCAGCCAATGAGGATACGGGTCTGCATGTCCCAAATATCCCACGCCGCAATGCATGTACTACCTATAGTACATTGAATAGTAGTCTCGCGTTACAGAGGAGAGCAAACTGGGGGATAACGGGCAGAATGAAAACCTCGACTCGCGCCCAAATCCTTCCGCCATCACTTTCTTGTCCTAATCCTTTTTCCAACATCCGCCGGACGCCCTTAATTTCTGTTCTATTCTGGCGAGGACGTCTCCAAGAAGTAACGGGACTGGTTTATGAGACCTAGCCCATCGTCTTGGGTTATAGCAGGAACCGCACTTGTTGAGGTCTCTGTTCAATTCTGGTACCAAGTCATAGCTCACCGGTACACCCCCGCCTCTCTTGCTATTCGACTCGACATCGATGAAATCACCTTAGCTGGTGCAGTGCACCTTGCAGGATTCGATGTCGCTGTATGAGAGGAAGCTGTGAACAAACTTGAGGTGAGTCTGCCGGCAGAAGTGCCTTCATTTTGCCCAGGCCTGCTTAGAGGTTATTTATGAATTGTATATGGTAAAATGTAACTCTAACCGCTTCCCAATCCAGTATCACAGTGAGACCATCAAAGATGTGGCGACCACGGTGGAACAAACAACTCGACTTTCGCGCCTTGCTGGTCTTCCAGCGCCTGCACCGATTCTACTCTACGTTCGGCGTCCTAGCCGCGCTGATCAGCGCACTCGCATTGGCAGCGATGACCTTCAACGAATTCCACCCAACGACCTCATCTCTCAGTCGTGTCGCGGAGGGCTTTCTATGCAGCTCTGCCACGACGGCCGTCTCCAATTCGAAGGGCACGATAGGGCTACTCGAAGAGATCTGGCCGTGGCCTGGTTACCGCTAGCATTCCTCGATATTTCTGCCGTAGAGTTCCTCATCGGCCTTGTCTGCTGGTAATCGGACAAAAATGACCGCTGGAGAGGAGCCCTGATGGACACACAATTGGTCGTCCTGATTATGATTAGCGTCACGCTTGCCGGGTGGATATGGATTTTTATGCAGCAACCTGGTGGTCTGGGCAGGGAGGAAAGTGAAGCGTCCTTAAAACGATCCCGTGTTGCTGATGAATAACGTGAGTTATCCAACGGGACATGGTAATTTGGCGTCTGCTGACCAAAAGATAGCTCGCCCGCGCAGCGTCATACATAGAATATTGATACCTGCTGTCATATTCATTTACCATATACTCCCTGATGATGGAAAAAATCAATGTTTGACATTCGCAGTATTGTGCAGTACGCTTTATAGAATTCATCCACCAGAATAATGAAGTTTCGACGCTATATCCCATGCGGCAAACTGTTTTGGAACAATGTACTGAAATAAGGTATACTGTACTTTTGTTTATGGTATCCGGCCAATGCTGTTCTCCTTACAATAATCGCTTTATGATCTCTTAGCAACGCAAACTGCATGAGCTGTAGAATGGCTGACAACGATAATTGGCCCATGGATCTGATTCTGAACAGGCTTGTAGATAGTTTCCACTTGGCCTGTGCAGAGTACTGTACGATAACTCTGCATCTGTAGAATTAGGCTTTATTGTGACAACCTCGCTGTGAAAGACTATTTGTCTCATAGTCTGTACCAAAAGCCATACGTAGGTAGGTGCTGATGAATAAACAACACCCTCTTGCTACGCTGCCTAAGATATTTAGTGACTCCATCTAATCTGTAGAAAATAGTGAGGCTGACGAAAATTCCCCGCTTTGCTGTAAGTACTGCACATGTAGATAAAATGAATTACATAAGAGGATTTCACCCGCAAAGCGGGAACTTGAAAGAACTCCAATCTGTCTATCTGAATATTCGAAAGCATCTTAATATATCGAACTATACTTGACGAGGGAATATTAATATTTATTCATGCATTCCTGGAGAATTTCCTGAAGAATTTGACCAGATCTCGAGCGGTCTGAAGAGCACTAATTTTTTATTTCTCGGCACCATTACCCGATCCGTCTTAATCTCGCGCGCGTGCCAAAATGAGGGGCTTGCATGATCTTGGATAATAATTAGCGGAATTCCGGATGACTCCATCCAGATCCTTCTCTTCTTATCGAATCGTCTGAGGACGCGCCACATAATGGCGAATGCGCTCTGGTGAAACCCCCACTTTTTCACTTAGTAGGTATAGTGGAAATTATGTCGTGTGACGGTCTGTGGCTTGCGCTTGAAATAATTACGATGAGCTATTAATTAATATTGGACTTTCCAACGAGATTGCTGATTTGCTGCTGCTGATCGATCCCATTCCTCGTGATGAAGGGGCAGGGTGAATTCGATGTTTAATTATTTCTTATCGCTGCTCTGCATTCATGAGTATATGGGCATTGATAGGCCGGATTCCTGCACGTATTAACATCGTCCTGACTGTCTCTTCAATAATCCTCGGACGGATGATGTTGCACCGCTGTTTTACTGCGCTGATCGGCCAATTCGCAATCAATTAATCCGTTTCACTAATCAGCCATGTGATGTCATTTTCATGCTATATTGGCTGCTTTTCGTACTAAGAGTAGTCGTACACTAGTGGCAATGCGCATACCGCTCAGCCACAGGCCTGCGAAATGTATTAAGTGGCTTAGCTAGGCTGCCACCATGGACTAGTGGAAATAATACAAGCATCTGTGCGGAGTACAGTTAAGAAATGTCTTCATACAAAACACATTATAAGGATGTGAAATTTCCTGCAGAACATTCTGCGAACGACTTCCATCTCAGTACTCGCAACACGTGTTGACAGTCGCCAAGCTCGCTAAGCTTTGGACAAGACTGCGTACCTTGAAGCGTGCCTGACCCAGAAGACGCAGCGGGGCATTATTAGCGATTTTCGCAACGTTTTGCGTCGCATCAACTGTACGGAATACTCGATCCAGAGCATGCAATTTCAGCTATGACGCAATCCCCATGCAGATCGCTCTCAGCTGCCCACCTGGAGGAGCAATCTCCAGGCTTGAAACCGCTGGTGCTCCAACCCCTCCCGGCGTGCGTTAGCTGAAGCTTAGCCCATCTCCACGCGGCCACTGGGAGAGGAGAGACGCCAGCTAACAGTAGTATTAGTAGTATCCTGGATGGGTCGCCACGCCCAGCTGACTGCTCCTTGCCCCTCAGACATGGGCGTCCCCAAGGTTGCTCCCTGCTGATACGCCGTCTAGCTTCATTGCTAGCGCTGGAGGGGTAGTGGGGGGTCGTGATTGCGTGACTGTCGGCAGCGACTGGGAGATCATCGAAATCATCGAGCTCCATTCACTGGTCCTTTTATCAGTCATTATTATTGCACAGGAGTCTCCACTGCATTTCTGGCTCACCGTTTATAAGTGCCCCTCTTTTGTCCATCCACGTCTCTCTTTCCTTCCCTCTCTTTCTCTTTCTCGATAGATATCAGCAAACACTTCCACTTGAAATCCTGATCAAAGACTACTCTCCACAATCACAATGGGTTGGTTCAGCGGTACGTCTGACATGATACTTATCGTCCTTCCTTCTTGCATTCTGGAAACTGACGTCGCTCTTCCAGACGACTCTGCCGAGGCCAAGGCCTACAACGAATGGGACCAGGCTCCCCACAAGGCCGAACTGAGCCACGAGCTGATTGCTGGCGCTGCTGCCTTTGAAGCCGCCAAGGCCTGGGAGAAGCACCAGGAGAAGGAGGGTACGGTTGCCCTTATTTTACCTTTTCCCATCGAGCGACCGCGATCAGGCTAACAGCCGCTGAAATCAGGCAAACCCGAGAACCACGCCCTCGCCAAGGAGATCATTGCCGGCTTGGCTGGCGCCGCTGTCGACCGCCTCGTCGAGACCAAGGGCCTCGACTACCTCGATCGTGAGAAGGCCAAGCACCACGCCAAGGAGCGCCTGGAGGAGCAGCTGGCTTCGGAATACTGATTTGATTCGGATAGATTTAGTACGAGTATGAATGAAGGATGATTCACGCTGTTGCTATGAGAGATTACTTTTTGGAATGACTGTACTTTCTTCGTAAAATGTTGCTGTAATTATCCCAGCGTAGATGTAGAAGTTACTGTAGGAGGAAATGGAAAGCGCATATGATTCCGAAATGACCAGCTCTGCCTGGTAAAGAAAGCCCTCTGATACCCTGTCAGATAGTAATCTTGAACGACCTAGACATGGCAGCCGTATTCCTTTTTGTTTTTCATCTTTCCCATCATTTTCCTTTGCTTTGCCTTTGTAGTTTGCTTCTATGTCCAAAGAACAAGATGTCACACACCGCATTACGGCTGCAATCACTGCTATATAGTTCGTGATGTACTCTCTCGTAGCAATGATCTCGCAATCATTGGATATCCTTTGGTCCGTTCGAGACTTGATTCTTTTTATTTAACCAGAAGGTAACTACCCTGACCAAAAACAGTATGACCATGGGTAACGAGGCGGAGTGACCCCTCAATCTATATGCACTTAGTCCTCAATTCGTGGTAGACCATGTTACTCTGTCAATGAACTGCAAGACTTATTTCTGCTTGCTCAACCTTTGAATTTCATGTGGTATTGTGGACTCGCGAGGTTCCGCTGCGACGAATTTGGATATATGTAATCGCACTGCCCCTGCATTCTACAAGAAAATGTCTCCACGTCACTAGATAAGACATCTAAGACTCTAATATCAAGCCGCGATAAGACTAGTATATGTCCTTTTTAATTGGAATCTAGCCAAAGAGAAACTCGTGTGCTGTAGCTACCATTGCCGCCGAATGATTACAGCCGCATAGCCTGGCCCTCCTATAGTTAATTCGACATGCTCGATATGACCCTAACACGCAGGATACCTGGCAGGTTCTTGAATAAATAGTCTACTAAGGATCGAGAGAGTTTATTGAACCCTTGGTTCTCTCGATCCTATTACGGTATACTACTAATAAATAGCAAGAATATCTATCTGACAGATCATCTGAATATCAAAAGGTTTCGTCTAGCCAAATTAAACTGATGCGCCTATAATAAGGTCTCTTCCTTGAAATATTTACCAATTATTTATTCGCTATAGCATATCATTCCATTGAGCACGTTAGGTCAGCTCCTCTCGGAAAGAGTTTAACCGATTTGTATAGAAACTTAAATCCCATTGTGTGTGGAGTGTGTTTCCTTCAAATTTATATAAGTTAAAGATTGCCAGGACTCTCCAATCCTGGACGAGTATCTTCAGGAAATTCTTCTCTTCTAGTTGAGGGGCAAGTAAAAAGAAATAGACGTAACAGGAGTGATAAACACAATTTATCCAGTGGGCCCCAAAGCTTGTCGCAGCTGGCACCTGGCCAAGACAAAGATCAAGGAGAGACACATGACTTTCAGCCAATTATTTTCTCTGTCTCTGCAAGTAACTGATTATTTTGGACGCAATGACAGAGGGGTAAAGCCCCACCAGAGGGGGAATTATTCGGGATATCATTTACCCGAGTTTTTATATATCGAGCACATCCTGCACACCACCGCAATTGATATCGCACGAGAGGAGTATACATACATAAATAGTCCTTGCGTAACATCATGGGCAAACGCATCGTCTTCACCGGAGGCTCAGGCAAGGCCGGCCGGCACTGCATCCCCTACCTCCTCTCCAAAGGCCACCAGGTCCTGAACCTGGATCTGAACCCGCTGCCAAACCCCGACGGCGTCGGCCTCAATCCCGACGTCTTCACGCTGAAATGCGACGTGACCGACAGCGGGCAGGTCTTCAACGCCCTGACGTCGCACTTCCACATGGGCGAGTATGAGATCGAGCGGGACCTGGGCAAGGAGTCGCCTACCATCCTGCCGGACGCGGTCATCCACTTCGCTGCGTACGCGCGCAACATGATCGTGCCGGACAATGAGACCTTCCGCGCCAACGTCGTCAGCACGTACAATGTCATCGAAGCAGCGTGCAAGCTGGGCATCAAGAAGATCATCATCGCCAGCTCCGAGACGACGTATGGCGTCTGCTTCACGCAGGGCGACTCGGATTACCACTCGTTCCCGCTCGAGGAGGACTACGATGTCGACCCGATGGACTCGTACGCGCTGAGCAAGCTCTGTGGCGAGAAGACTGCGCGGACGTTTGCCCGGCGCTTCAATGCCGATATCTATGCCCTGCGTATCGGCAACGTTATCGACCCGCAGCAGTACACGCAGGACTTCCCCAGCTTCGTCAAAAACCCAGAAACCCGCAAGCGAAACGCCTGGAGCTATATCGACGCGCGGGACCTGGGGCAGATCTGCCACCTGTGTGTGGAAAAGGACGGCTTAGGGTTCCAGGTGTTCAATGCAACGAATGATACCATCACGACAGAGATTCCGACGGAGGAGGTGCTCAAGAAGTACTGTCCTAACGTTCCCATTACGAGGAAGATGGGAGAATGGGAGGCGCCTCTCAGTAATCGAAAGATCAGAGAAGTGCTGGGTTTTAAGGAGGAGCATAACTGGAGAAAGTACGTTAAACTTAGCTGACCACCATCAATAAATGATTATCATATATTTTGTATTCTTGTATATATCAAAAAACTTGGTTTATTTGGCTATAACTTATTTTTCCATGACTCATATTTTTCTCTGTAAGTTTGCACAGTCATAAACGACAAGCCGAGCGTAAAAATTGAAAAGAATGATTCCATTGATTAAGTAATATCAATTGACAAGGTTTATATATATTATGAGGTCTGTCTTCGTAACATCACTGTCTGCTGTAATCAATTGTATGATAGACATTTATTCTTGAACTGTATGGATATATCCGATCAAAGAACTCCGCTCGAATAATTCCGCCTCAGGAAGACGAAACATCCTCGACTTGATCGCTCTCCATCTTACCGCTGGCGGATGTTTCCACATCCAGTCACGTCGAATTCCCGCGGTTGATGCTTTCCCTGACGCCCTGCGTAAGAAAATTCGTTCTCGTCCCTTTGCCATAGAAGATGTGGTCAATCTGTTCGAGGGAGAGACCTCTGGTTTCCGGATAGCAGAAGTTGACTATGGGGATAAAGGAGAGGTTTAGTGCGACGTCTGGAATTTTCAAATCTGCTACTGGCCAAGTTATCTCCTGGTCGTTGAGCCTTGCCTATCATGTAATACTTCCAGCCTAGGTTCTGCAGACAGATGGGTGTGATTGTTACGACGATTCCGTTGACTTCGATAGGTTAGATACTGTATTTTCTGTCTTGACTGAGAAGCTCACATAGCCAATTCGATGCCGACGCAGCAGCACCGCCCTTCGCTCGCATTTTCAAAGAGTTGATCTCCGGCGCATATATCCACGGCACATTCAGGTAGCTTGACCTCGTTAGCAGAGACGCTGATACACTGCGAAAGAAGATTATCTACCTCATCGCAAACGAGTCATAAAAGAGAAAGTACATAGCAACAGCCGTTCGCAGACTCGCCTGCGTGTTCAGCTTGATCCCAATGCAAATAAGCACGGAGAAGATGCACTGGAAAATCGCGCCCCGGATCATCGAGTTACGTCGTCCAACCCGCTCGATGAACCAAATCTGGAGCAGGGAGAAGATGAAATACTGCGTGCCTGCAATGCCGGAAAGGACGTGCGACATGGATGTGTCCAATGTATTCCTGTAAGATAATCGGGAGATAGTATGAAATCGAGCTATTGGACCAATATGATATTAATATAGGCTCATGCGAGACAGCCAACGCCAAGTATACTCACTTGATCCTGCACATCTGCTGCATATACAACCCAACAACACCCAGCATCAGCTGACGCAGGTTCTGCTCTCCCCCCCCGTGGTGAAGATGTCGCGCCAATCATTTGACCGTTCTTCCTCCAGGACCGTTTCGATCTCGCGTCGGATCTCCTGCACTTGCGTGTTGTCTTCTGACGTGCCCTTGAGTCGAGCAATGACGGCAGTGGCCTGTGCGATGCCTTTGTAGTTCGCCAACCACCGTGGAGACTCAACAAGGAATGGGATCGTGACCAGCAGATACAGTGCGAAAATGGCCTGCAGGGCAATCGGCTCGCGCCATTGAAAGGACGTGGTGGAGGAGGACGCGGCCAGACAGATCCAGTTCGAGATGGCATATCTGGCGATGATGAATGCCGCCTGCACTGTCACTAATTGGCCTCGACGGTGGGGGTTGGGGGGGGGGGGG